TGATTTTACAAAAAGAAGTCTGAAAATACCCCAGCAATAGTTTGGTATCTGAAGAAAATATCAGTTCCTTCGTGTCACTTGAAGGTTTCTGCTCTGGAGTAAGAGGTTCTGCAGAGAAAACTGCTTCAAAACAGACAGATTGACAGTGTAAGAGAAAGACAAGCAAAAGAATACAACTTACTGCTGTAACCTTTCATCCTCTCATTTACCAAGACTTTGTTGGTTACTTTTGGTTGGGGTAACAGATATCCAATGAATCTCGCATTAACTTTTTAACATTTTAACTTTCCGACAAACCAAAAATTAACTATTTTGTGACTTTATGAAAGTTTACAAAGTTCTTTATCTTCCCATTACATTTAGCCTCTGAAGAGTGTATTACGGCATTATATCAGTGATACTCCCTGGGAATAAGCTTGCAGCACAAACAACCTGCCTCTGCGCCACTGTAGTACACTGGTGCTCTCGCACTACTGGAGTCAAAGAAATACAACGCTGAGCTAGAGACTAGCTGAATGCAGGATCAGAGGGGAACGCCTCAGTCATTAAGTCTGCCCATTTCCACCCCACCCACGCAGCTACAGGACCAAGCCCTTCAAAATTTAGTTAAGAGACAATTTTATGGGGAAAGATTTTTTTTTGCTCTCTTGCTCTCCCTAGCAAAAGTTCAGCAGTTACAAGCTCAGCATTTAGGAAAGCTTATTTTCAATTCACAGCTCTACCCCGCATCTTCCACACAATCCTGAGCTGTTGCAGCCCCAGCACCTCTACAGAGCAAGGGCCTTAGTACCTCCTACTTCAATGAGGTGTTGCAAGTGTCAGATGGATATATTTAAGAGTAGGAAGTATTCGGATACTATGGAAACCAGGGCAAGGGAAGAACCTAAAATAGATGGAAGACGCAAGCTGTTGCAAAGTCTGGAAAAGTCTTGCTGAGGAAGGCTGTGCTTGCCACAGCCGATATCAGAGTGTGAACCGTTCAGAGCTCAAGGAGAAAACACCCTCTTTCTACTCTTTCCATAGCTTGTAATTTTTCCTCTTTCCATCTTAGGCTTTTAATTTCCCCTCTGTTTAATAAGCCTCCTACTTACAAGCTCCTTTGAATGATTTACATCCTAGCTTGCCTTTCCCATGGCCTGGAGTAGACTGCCGTCTGACTGCAGGATTATTGGGACTATGTCATAAGAATAAACACTAAAGAGCACTCTCTTGAAAGAGAAATACGACAGCAACCTACAAACAATGGTGCCTGAAACAAGGAGTTAAGTTGCCAGCCTGTGAAATGCTACCTCTCCTTCTTATAATGCAAACACATTTATTGTACATATTCAACCTCTACAAACAAACCAGTTGCTGAAGTATAACAACTGCTGCACTCAAAAAAAAAGAAAAAGTCACACAAACACAGAAAGCACTTGGAATAGCCAAAACAGCATGTGGAAGAAACACAGAAGATGCCAACATGAAGTATACAAAAGCCATCTTACTCAACACCCAACCAAGTGGAAGACAGTAACAGATGCGGAGCAGTCAAAGCACTCCACAGGGCAGACTGCCAGCCATCCACCCCTGGAAAGCCAGGCTGGAGTTATGGTTCCCTCACTGGCACAGACCTCAAGGCTGCTTGAGACCAGAAGTGCTTCAGTCTTACTTCACAGCACTGGCTCTGGTTCCACCTGCTCCTTACAAGCTACTTCTTGAAAATAAGAAGAGTCTCTGGCCTTTTCAGCATTACCACCGCCTTAATGACAAAGCCCCAGCCAGGCGAGGGAAAAACTCCGGGCAGGAATTCTTGGCCCTAGGATTCTCAGTGCATTCAAGGGGAAAGAAACTGATTGAAGGTGTCCAACATTCTTCGTCTTAGAATATCTTGACTGCAGCATCAATATGAGGAATGATTTCCTTCAGCCGGTTCCACTGTTCTGCAGACAGGGTGATCCCTAGAAATAGAGGAAAAAGAGGTTTCAGAGCAGGTAAGGGGTAAGCACCAAGTAGCACCCCCATACTGGCTCCTTCAGACTAGCTGCAAAAGGGAAAGCTGGAATCTGAGATAGAGGCCCAGACCAGAAACAGAGGTAGCCTTCTGAGCATGGTAGTTGTATCTGTGCTTCAGCACCCGCATCAAGAAGCACCCAGTGCTATCACAGAAACACAATGTCAGAACGTAAGCTCATGTTGCCTTTCAGGGAGTCCCACAGCCCCTTAAGAGTCTGTTCCCTAGAAGAATACCCACTGATATGAGCTGGAAAGGGATTCTAGGAAAGTCTTACTTCACCCAGTTCAGACGCCATCCTTTCCACTGCCCAAAGGGAGTGCCGGCTGTAGCTCTATTTAGAAAGCCTGCTGCTAACAAGAAATTGGTACTATAGCTTCAACACTAGAGAAGAATTGGCTTCTTTTTAGATCCAGTAGAGATAAGGTCTTCATCTCCCTTAGGAAACAAAGATGGTGGAATTGCTGAGTGTGTTCCAGCAAGATATTACCGGCTTGTTCCTTTTGGATCTGTTAAGAAGTACATTAAAGAACTAGGGCCTGAGCTTTATTAATTTCTCTAGATAAAAGTCAGGGGCCAAGAACTGAGAAAAAAATAGCAGAGGCATTACTTAAATGAAGAATATTTCTTCACGATTTCTGTTGTAACAGGTCTTCTGTCTTATTTTGCAGCTGTGCTTCTTCCAGCCTGGAAGGAGCCCACAATGCTCCTCTCCTTCTCTGCTCCAAAGGCACAGAAAGCCTTCATGGCTCTGCTTCCAACTTTCATTACAGCATACCCTCTTTGTGAGTAATTCATAGCTTTAACTTCTCTGAAGAAAATTAATTTCTGTAAGGAAAAACACGTTTAGTGGTTGTGAAGCAAACCAAGCTGAAAGTCATCTGCCTTGACACAAAAATCAATAGCAAGGGCCAAAAAGTTCCTCAAGGAATCCCACATTATCTGAATCTTTGCTGAGTGCTACAGCACACGTGGCAAGAGAGAAGAGTGACCTAACAGCCTGGAGCCTGTGAACTTTGAGGCAAGCTGGCAAGTCATCGTCAAAGTCTCAAAGCAAAAGGCCTCCACTAAACAGTGACTCATCAGTTAAAGAGCTCTGAAGAAAAATGTGTTTTCTCTGTTGCAGCTCCCTTTGCTTGCATTGCCTGCTCAGGTTGCACTGCTGCAATGAGCCACCAAGTTGTGCCACTCTATTGCATCATCAAATACCTTGCCAGGAAAAGGCACACCTAACCCAGTGACATGGAAGTCTCAGCAGGGATCCAGGAGAGTCTTAACATTTCCACCTCCATGTGGAAGGGGAAGGATGGATTTGTTTCTGAGAGGCTCTCCTTGCCAAACACAGCTCCACCATCGGATTACAGGCAAACCTACAAAATGCCACCTTTCTGTCCTCAGCATCATCAATGCCAAAAGAGAAGTTTGTCTGTTAGCAGTAGGACACTAGGACTAGTAGGCAGCAGAGGCAGTGATTTCAGCCTCCTCCACCACACAGTTCTGCCCCTGCCAACAGCCCAAGAAGGGACTGTTGATGAGAGGTGGAACCAGAGTCCTTAACAGCAGCTGCCAGCACCTCTCCTCATAGCAGTCATGCCAACCTCGAGATCTCACTAGAGGCTTGTACTCACCCCTGCTTTGTGCTTTCTTCAGCTTTTGCCACGCAGACTGAGAAAGCTCTAAACGCTCTGAGCTGTTTGCTCAGCACCCCAGCCCCTCAGCATGGCACACACAGATCTCCCTAGTGCTGAGAAGGCAATGCTAAGCCAGAGGCAGAACCACCGCCTAAAGAAGGTAGCTGTACCTTTCCTCCCCAGCTTCATGTCTCCCTCCTTGTCCACACAGAACTCCCTGATGTCCACGAGGACCTTCCCCTTGAAGCGGGACACTCGGACGTATCGCATCTTCCCAGTCTGCAGGTGTACAGAACCAGCATTAAGCCCAGCTCCATGACAAGCTCCTCGGCAGCCCGGAGGGCTCTGGGTTATTCACAGCACGAGGAGTGGTGGAGGAACAGCAGGCAGCCAAGGCGCGCCCCAGGAAGTCAGCCCAGCTAGGAAACACTCCGTCCCAGCACAGGAGGTGCCGGCAGGGAGCCCCGGACGAGGGGCAGGAAGGTGCATTCTGGAGCCAGGCCCTGCGTCCCCTCTTCTTCGCTGTCTTAATCCTGGGGCTTTGCTGTCACCCCCGGAGGTCTGGCCTCACTTTTTGGCCTTTTCTCTGCCTTAGAAGACATCTCTTTCTTTCCTTCTTTCCTTCTTTTCTAGAAAGAGGGACCACCAGCTGCAACAGCCACGGCGAAGGAGCCGCAGCCCTTCGTCCCGTAGCCAGCGCACACCGCGGCTGCCGCGCGCCCCCCCACGACCCGAGGGAGGCCGGGCCCGGGGCCGCCCCCGGCGGTGAAGCGGCGGCCGGGCGGCTTCCCCCGCGCCCCGGAGCGGTGGCCGCGGTGACCTCCCCCCCGCCCCCGTCCTCCCCCGGGCCGCTCGACCCCACTCTCCCCGCCGGCAGCGCCCGGCCCGGCCCCTCTCGCCCCCGGCGGAGCGCAGCGCCCGCAGCCGCCCGCCCGCTCCCGGGCCGCCGGGAGGGGCCGGCCGGGAGCGCCCCGCTGCAGCGGCCGCCGAGGGGCCCGGCCGGCGGGGCCGGGGCTCGGGCCGGGGGCGGAGGGGCCGCAGCAGGCGGAGCCTCCCCGGGCGGCCGCAGGGATCGGGCGCGGCGGCCTCCCGCTCAGCTGCCCCACGGAGCGGGCCGGCCCTCGCCCCGCCGAGCTGCCTGGGAACAGCCGGGAACCGGGGATTTGCTCGCTTCGGGGTGCCAGCAGCTGGCTCGGGCTCTGTAAGGTTTTCTGTCAAACTCTGTTACTGGTGGCAGCGTAGAAGGGATGCCGGCCGCCTGCCTCTAAGCACGTGCGTGTCCTCTCTTTCTGCAGGGGGTCCGTTCCCCCCCGTTTTGTATATAGCCCAGCTTTTTAAGTTTCCAGCACCGCATCGTTCTCCAACAAATCTGTTCGTCAAACTTACTCACACTTGGTTTATTTTTCCAAATGAAAAAGGGACAAAGAAGGAAATGAAAAATGCTAAAATATTTAGATACCATTACATTTATAATCAGAAAAATGTTAATAAACTGAATTGACTCTGCTATTCGTTTTTAAATACTCACCTCAATATACATTTGTTCTTGAGGACACACGAGAGATAAATGAGTTAACATTACTAGATAAATCAACACTTTTTCCTGAGCTGCAAACGTTTCAGATTACAACTTTTGAAGTTGCTATCCAATAACTACAAGTGAAAACTAAGCAAATCAAAGGGAGCAAGTAAGAGTCCACACTTCAACACCCAGAGGCCTAATCTACTGGGACACATGGTAGCACCCCCATTATTTCAGATCAGGAAGTCAAACTGCACAGCTCTTAAATGTGCTTAAAAGCTTGGCCATGAGGTGTTGGAGCAGCTCTGTTTTGGTTTGTGTTATGAACACGAGCAAGTGTGATTTAAAAAACAAACAAAACAACAACAAAAAAATCACCCAAACCCAATGCCCACAATAATTTGGGGGTAGTTGTGATTTTAAAGGTTTAAAATAGATTGTAGTTACTCTTCCAGCCACAGGTAGTGGGGTACCTAGATCCATTTTGACTTCAAGGTCCTTCCTCTTAGCACTCTGTGAGTACAGGGGTGGAACTCATATTGCACAGCAGTACTTATAGCAGGGAACCTCTCTGATTTGGGAGACAAATTACAGGAGTCCAAACTACTCACATGTAATCCCTAGTGCCTCAGGTAGGGGGGAGAGAAGTGGACAGAAAGAATGAAACAGCTTCAGTGTTTAAATCCTGTTGGAAACGCAAATTTCTGCAAACCACACACTTTGACAGCATCAGTACAACAGGTGAAGTCAGATAGTAAAGAATACTGGTTTATGGCTAGGAAGGTAATTGCTAGCTAGTTGTGTATATGCGGACGTGTACTTTCATGCTTCTTCCTTCCAGGCCAAGGAAACTCATGATAAAAGGATAGGTAAAAATAGGGGTGTGAGGATCTGCTACACAGAGCTCCTGTGTAATGTGGTGAACTTTATTGTACCAGAACAGCTGCTGCATTTCTGCCTCTGTGTGTCACGTTGGTAACAGGAGGAATGGGATGTGCTGCAGTATGCATCAGCACCATTATTCTTGTTCTTTTAAAACCTAGCAGAATAGTAGGGGCTATTTACATGCTTCTCTGTCAACTTCCCAAAGGAAACATAGCAACATTGGAACTAAGTTCACTCCCAGGATGGGCACTCTGTTCCAGCTACGATAAAGTTGGAATTTGACCATCTCAGATTTGAGTATAGAATGTTTCAACATATACACACTTTGATCAGAAGCATAAACCCTTATCTGTATCAGGAAATACTTTCTATGGCAGTCAGGTAACTATAATGAAACACGTCTAATTACGGGATAAATTACCCTCGTGCATGACAGGACAATGCACTGTCCCAACTGCCCCTGAAGTTTATGAACTTTCTCCATTTACCTCTTTCAACCTTTCTCTTACACAGATGCCACTGGCTTCTGGCACTGCACCAGAAGAGTTATTTTACTGTTTAAGCCACAAGGAGATAAAGCGTTTCCTTTAATGCTACAGCCCTGCCAAGGACATAGCTGGAAAACTGAAGGTTGATAGTCTCCACTGCAAGGAAGGAATGCTCTGGGCCTGTTCTGCCTCTAAAATTTACAAGTAGTGGCAACTGAAAGTGCATCAAGTTGAGCTGAAGCAGGATCGCTAATAATTTTGGCTTTCTTATTTGTTTCCATTGAAGTAATAGAGTTTCATTAAGCTTGGTTAAGCAATATGCTGGACTGGAGGGGACACACCCTGTCCAAGAGTAACATGCTAGAAACATACAATACAGCTGGAGGCCTCTGGTATCACTTCCAGCTGTTCAGAACCTAGAGAGAAGCTCTCCAGATATCCACTGCACCGTGTGTGTTCTATACCTACACAGTCCAGATCTACACCTTTCCAGAGCACAGTACGTACAGTCCCTCAGTGCAGAGCATAACGATCAGTGGAACACAACCAAAGCTCATCTTCTAGCCACCCAAGAACAAGCAACCACTTTCTGAAGTCATTATAAATTCATTTGGCAGAGAAGCATCACAAATGCTTCATACATGCATAGAGACACATTTCAACAGCACAAAAAAAAAAAAAAAAAAAAAAAAAACATGCTAGAAAAAAGGCAAGTTTTCCTGTAGGGCTGATATTTCAGGAGTGCTTGATACCATGCCACCTGCTGATATTACAGGGAGCCACAGACAATAGCATGCTCTCCTTGAGAAGAAAAGACCCTTTAAAGTACAAGTTGCTATGCATTAGCAGAAAGCATGCACAATGGGGCAAAGGTACTCCAAAGAGACTACAGCAAAAGAAACAAAGATGGATGGAAACCCATGCTTTTGTCATCCCCCCCTACAGACAATGGCACATGTGTAATGGCCTTAAAAAAAAAACAAAGAAGTACCGTCCTGCTTCTCTCAGTCAGCAGAATGCAAGAAAAGTTTAAACTTCAGATGACAGCAGTGCTGGAGCAACTGGCTACCTGGCCCTCAACAGCTTCACGCAGCACTCACAACGAGACTGCCAATGCTTCTGGACAGCGAGAGCTAACTACAGACAAGGCTTGGCCGAGTATAAATGTAAAAGAGTGAGTTCCAAGATAGGATCTCATGGTTACAGTCCTCAAAACTGACACTTAAAATGACATTCATAAAACTTGTGTGTTTTGTTTGTTTGTTTTGTTTTCTAATAGCCAAGTGACCTGCCTCCCTTTTTACATACTAGCGGCAGAGTATGAAAGGAGACAGTGACAAGCACTTTGGAAATTTGTGTATACATGCAGGCCAGGAACCGTGTTTTCAGAAATAACAGAGCTGAAAAATGTGAAATGAGACCCTGAGATGCAGGTGGACACAGCAAAACAGCCCAAAACCCAGAACCATCTGGAAGCGTAAACTGAGGAACAATAATTAACCAGAGCTCAGCTTGAACTGTGCTGCTCTTGCTATTAATAAAACCAGCTTGACTAAATACATGAAACACCACAAAACATGGTCCTGCAGCATTTGGGACTGTAGAACACCTCTTAAAAACCATGCAAGAGTTTAGCACAGAGTGGTGGCAGCAGCAAACTGTTCAAGGGCAAGCTTTAAGAGAAATCAAGTACACAGCAAAATGCATCCTCCAATAGAGGCAGGACAATATGTCCTGGTAAGAACCCTACTGCAGGAACCCGTTTTAACACTCTTTCCTCATTCCCTCTATAACAGTCAAAACTGTTTACAGTGCACCTCTGAAAAGGGAATGAGTTATTGCACTGTCTAAACAAAATGCAAAAAGATGCTTGCTGGAGATACGGCTTGCTCAGCACACCTTCCTAAAGCCAGGCAGCAAACTTAAGGAAGAGGTGCCATAAGAAAACATACTAATAGCATTCTCTTTAATTTGCATATGCACATTTTCTTTTCTTTTAAGCAAGTGCTCTGAGTCCTTGTTTGCTGGGCAGAGGTAATACATCTGCTCTGTAGTTTCAGCTTCCAAGTTGGCTGTACGGCACGTATGTCCTTGAATGTGCTGGACTTTGTTCTACCCTCATAAAAGCTGCTCAGCATCAGCTGTTCAGCATTTAAACAACTGCACAAACGTCTGAAGTCTGAGCTTCTCCCTTGCAAAAAAGCAAAGTAAAACAGGCATGGTGCAAGTAAGTGGAAAAAAAGCACCTGAAAGGTGCACAGGAGTTGAAATTTCATTTTCTTTCTGCCTTCCTCCCCTCTCTAGAGTAGTAAAGAGGAGAGAGAGGAACAGAAACAGCAGGATTCACTGGAAGGCAGAAGGTTCCTGATGGGCTCACCGATGGCTCAGTGCTGCTGTAAGGATCATGACTTGTTGCTTCACTGCTGCTTGGTTTTAAGGGATAATCTCTGTATCATCTTGTAAAGGAGGCCAAAATGCTGGAAACGGAAGGAAAATAAGTAGCCGTGAGTCCTTTTAAGTTTTAATAAAAATTACTCTGTTCTACACAAGGATTGAAAGTTTAATAGAAGGCTTAAAACAGTAATAATGCACAAATGCAATTCCTCATTTGCATCATCTACAAGCACTCTCAATGTGAGGACAGAATGGGACTTAGTTAATTAAGAGGAATAAGGAATCACTATAACAAAGCCAGTTAACTGAGGTTGTACAGAAAATGGTGGCTTACAAAAATGTTTGTGCCACCTGTACCACTGATGCTAGTAGTTTCAAGAATATAACAGTGAACCAAGCAAACACTGAGATTCCCAGTCACTGTGGCTAATTGGATTTAAGAGGAAAATAAAGTTCATTTCCTGCTTCTTTTCTCCTACCTGCACTGCAACGTAGGCAACACCAAGGTAGGCTGCAATACAGACAGCCAGGAGGAGGTCAAAGATTGCTGGCTTCACCCTGCCATAAAGAAACAACACATGAAATTGCTACAACAGTTACTGCCACAGAGACAGACCACAGCCCAACGTGCCCAAGGGCCATACCTGTACGCATTCATCACCTGTTTCAGCTGGTCATAGAAAACAAACTCTGGGTCCCTGTGGAAAGCAGAAATTCTTCAGGACACATTGCATTTCTAGACAGTGCAGTAAGAACAGCCCAGACCTCTGCTCCCAGTAAGTTAACCCAATGACAGACAGGTGGTATGATCTCGCCTAACCGTTTGGAACTTATTTTTGTCGTCAGGTTTTTGTTTTTATAGAGGTAGAAGCCCAAGGATGAAATTCTGAACATGCTGATCGTTTAAGAGGCACACAGACAACGCCTTGCTAGGTTCATGAAACTGCCTTAACCGAAGCAGGTTAGACAGGAAGGAAGCTGCCTCTTCACAAAGAAAGCTTTCTAAGGGACCTTAGTTCTTTCCTGCAAAGAGAAGCAGCACTCAGAGCGGAAAGGGTGGAACCAAAGCAGGGAAAAAACAAGTTCTTCAGATGGAGGGAACTGCTGAGGCTTGTTACTGTGTTGAATGATAAAGAGCTTTCTCTAGCAAAACAGAGCACGAACCAGAACTGACAGGAGAGCAGAAAGAAGCAATCACTTCTAGCCATATACCAAGAAGTCAGAAAAGCCGCAGCTCAGAGTCAAGACTCGTTGGAGGGAGGGGTGAGTTTACATGCCCCAGCTGGTTCTTTCATCTCTCTTCTTACCGTTTGTCTGCCTTTACATGATGCTGTTTGACATCTTTCAGGTAGCGACCCATATAATATTCTAAGGTGCTGAGAAAGGTGCTGTCTTTATCAATCAGCTGAGCAGCCCTGGGCTGACTGCTCAGCCAGTCCATCACTGATTCAAGTTGCTCCTGCTGGATCTGCTGCAGAAAAATATCACCAAAGAAAGGGAGTTCATCACATGTGCTGAGACCAGAACTCTCCCAAGCTCCTACTCCCTCCTCTCCACAGGTTACAAAAACACGCTGTGCTTACCATCTGATCTGTGAAGATCTGCAGATCTGCAGGTGCTCCCTGCAAGGGAAAAAAGAGGCTGCCAGTGAGAGCAAGCCTCGCTGGGCAGGACAAGCCTGGCTAGCACTGCAGGATGGGCAGCTCTTACCTTGTCTGTCAAGTTGTAGATGACCCTTGTCAAAGCCTCAGCAATGATCCTAGTGTTCCTGGTTAGTGCCTTAGTGTCTACTCGTGCCCTAAAGAAAAAGGGGGGATTATGCACTTGTCAATAGGACCAGCTTCCTCCAGCCACCACCCTTTTGAACTGCGTTATGCATAAGACTTAATCCAGAGCCTAACTCCCCATGTTTTCTCCCCCATCCTGTGACTGTCAGAACAGTACCATCACAAGGCCAATTTGCTTTTAGGGGCGGGATTTCAGCTGCAGCCTTCCCCAAGGCCTCTAACCTCCTGTCCATGATGCTGTTGCGCAGACTGTCCCGGTGGCTCTCCAAATGGGAGATGGTGAACGCTGGCAAGCGTCGGATCGCAAAACGCTCGTGTTCCCATGCCAGCATGTCCTCAGCCAAGTTTATCTTCTTGTGCACCATGGAAAACTTCACTTCTGGGAACTGGCTGGCAACAACCTGAGGGAAAGGCCAAGCCATTCAAGGGTGTCATGCTTTCCACTGCACTATCCCATCTTGGACAGTCCAATCCATCTATACCCAATTCTTTTTTATTTTTTGGCTACCAACGGTAAATATACTTGACCTGTAAGATGCAGCTAATGTCATTAAAAAAAATGTCTTAATGTCACTACAGAAATCATCTGGGTAGCTTTTGCAAGCCACAACCCATAAGGAAGCACAGCAGGAAATGCAGATCTACTGTGCTTCATTCAGCACTGTGGTGTGACGATGCTTTCGCTCCAAATCAAGTGACCGGAAGCAACATACAAAATATTTCAGCGGCGCGCTCTTTGGTCATGTCTTACTCCCTTTCTATCACAGAGAGCTGCAGCTCCCCATGGTTAAGTCCCAAGTTCCCACCTGCCCAACATGCTTTTCATTACCAGCTCCAGTTCTCTCAGAAACGCATGCTGTAAGGTCCCTTCTTTGGGAGGCTTGGAGACATGAAGATGAAGGCTATTGCCTCGGCCTAGAGTGTCAAGGCAGAGAACAAACGCTACATTGTCCTGCAACAGGCTGGAATCTGCAACAGAAAAATCCAAGAACTTTCAGGCTATGCTTTGTGCTCGGAGTTTCATAGAGACACACACACGGCCCTGCACAAGAGGATTCTGGCATATGAGACACTTATCACAATGATATTAAGAGGCCTTGCCAGGGAACATACTGGAATGTCAGCTCCTTAACTCACCAGTGTGGTCCAAATTGTCTTCCAGCCATCGCTTGGTTCCTTGATAATTAAACTTGCCACCTCCAGATGCAAAGAATAGTAAGTTATACCTGCCCATCAAAGACAACGGGAAAGTGTTAGCACATGACACTTCATGGCTACAGAACTGATTTATTCAGACTTAGAGGTGGGGTGAAATCACAACAGTTAGCACCCAACATCCAAGGCAAACTGCCCATTAAAAAATGTTTCCTACATGCCACATAGGAAGGTAGTGGCAAGACAGGGGCAAAGTAGAGGAGTTCCCAGTGCTTGAGGATGGAATCTAGTTCTCACATCATTCCCTCCACTTTCCCCTACAGTTATGTAGATCTACCTTAAAGAAACCAAAGGAAAGAGCTCTGCCTTTAACAACTGCTGTGCTTGGAAGACAGCAAAACAGGGAAGGAAGTAAACGACTGCTACGGGTCTAGAGAAAAAGCCCTTCTTTACCTGATCTCAGCTACATACATTCAACCAAGAAGAGGGCAATGGCTTACCCAGCATGAGTTCGTCTGTAAGTGTAAAGCCGTGAGAACAGCCTGGCTAATTCCAGCAGCACTGAAATACCACTGCCATTGGAGTCAGCACCGTGTGACAGCCACTGCAGGACAAAGCGGGACAAAAAGTAGCAACCCTGCCTTTAACACACCACCACGCCCCACTTAGAACTACCCCTGGTCCTTAAGACCAAGAAAAAAAAATAAACAGGGTCTGAGGCCACAGGGGAAAAAGGCACAGACAGGAAGAGAGCTGCAGGAAAAAATACTCACTGGGGCCACTCCGAAGGAATCATAGTGCGCAACTATCACAACAGTGGGTAGATCTTCTCCACCCAGCCCCGTCAGCCTTCCCTGCGGAGGAATGGGATCAGCGTCACTCGGCATCTCCCCTTGCATGACTCTCCAGTGGTCTCAGTTCTGAGATACTTCAGACACTGGAGGAGAATCCCCTGACTTCCCCCATTAGTCCAAATGCCTGATGAGGTCTCTGTAAAGGTGGCGTCACACCAGTATCTCCAGTTTGGATCTATTCAGAACTCACCTCTACGCTGGGTATAAGCCAGTCATTGATGGCTTTGCTCTGAGCCCCACTGGTCACCATCTGGAAGCCATTGGCAGTTGCAGTGTGCAGCAAAACTAGAACAAAAAAGACAGGTACAGCTGGGGAAGTTTTGTCCCTTTATCTTCCTTGTTAACCGAGCACTGGAGAGATTAGTTTTAAGGCACTTTATCCCTGTCACTTGTGTTTATGTACCAATGTGGGATCCTGGTGACCTTACACTTTCATTCTGTTCTGAAATCCCCATGTTTCAAACTAGCTAAACCAAAAACTTTTCTCCAACAGACTTAAAGCTCATCATGATCAGCAGGCCACTAATACTGTAGTGGGGAACACAAGGAAGCACTGAAGTGACTTGTGGTCAGACAAAAAGCTTCAGCTTTTGTCCACAACTGTAGTCACTTAACACCTTCAGTGTTGTTTTCAACTTGAGTCTTGCTTTCTGTCTTGCTTGCAACAGCGTGAAGTTGCACTCCCATGCAACTACACTTCCAGAATAAGACACTCTTACACGATGTTTTTATTCCAGTAGACCTCAGAGAACTTTAACAAAGACAGAATAAACATAAAGGTAACAGAATGCTGGGCTATGGTGCATACAATACAGAAGATTGCTCCTGCAGGTCGGATCAGGACCGTCTTCCTGTAAACTTTTCCCCCACTAGAACTCACCTTCCGCAGCTGAGGCAGATCCCTGTGATGCAGAAGCAGCCCGTGTTTGTTCATAGATAGATAGCAGCTCTTCATCTTCCACTGCAAAGTAGACTGGCACAATGGTTTCCATAGCAAGCATTTCTGGCTCTATCTCCATGAATTGCTGAGGATTTAAGCGAGACAAAAAAATTAGTATCTGCTAAACGTGCAAGAGAGCAGAGAAACAAAATCAGAGAGAAAGGTCAGTTTCAAAATCAGAATGTGATCTGCCATGCATTACAACAGGAACTTTCAGTCCTGCAGCAATCCAAGCCTCCCCCCCCCCCTCAAATACATCTCCAACCAGAAGAGAAAAGGAACATTGTTGTTGTTTCTGTTTGTTTGTTTGTTTGATTTACCCTTACGACATCCTGTGGGACAGAAGAAATAGACCGTGGCAAGATGATCACCACAGCCCCAGCTGACTGGCGAAGAGCCTTCTGGTACTGCTCATACGAGAAATCCACCAGCCGCATCATGACACAGCGGCGGCTGAGCACATCCGCTTCTACTGTGCGGGCCTCCGTGTTAAGCACGGCACTCCTGGTGCCTGCAGAGAGAAAGCAGGGGGAGGTTTAGGAAGCGATTTCATCACATCCCCTTTGCTGTGCCTAGCTCCTTCTCAAAACAGTCTTGGTCACAGCCCAACAAACTTCAGAGCAGCTAGGATCTGCAGCAAGCTAAGTTCATCTCTTCCCCTTGTCCAAGGGGGACAACAGGTCTGTCTTTTCTGTCTGTGAAAGGACACAACAAAGCCACCCCACATCCATTCAAAGGGATGTTCTCAATCATCCACCAGAATGCCTCCGTAACAGACAAAATCAAAACTGCCTCCTGCTCTCAACTTCAGCATCTTGAGTCACCCACGTAACAGTACAGTACTTGACACAACAGCAGGCCAGAAGCTTGCCAGCAGCTCCAGCGTTTTGGAAGAGAGGACCACAAGAGAAGAGCGTCTGGTATAGTCAGGCATGTTCAAAGCTACCCTACAATTTAAAATGCTCTGAACCACTTTCTTCTCCCGCAATCCTGGCACCTACATTGAAGACTTCATCACACTGAGGTCATAAACAGGCAAGGTAAGATAAGGTGCTCCAGAAGGCATCTCAGACTACGCCAAAGCAGGCAGCCACTAACAGCTAGGTTTAAATGTAGCTCAGCAGGACTCTAACGCTAGTTTGATCTCATCAAAGGTCAAATCAGCTAAACCAAGAAAGGACTTGTACTTCCACTGCATGGTATCAGTGAGGGCCACACACACAAAGAGGTAACGCACACTGAAGTCTCCACACAGAGCTCACACTCCACGAAACAAACAAGTATTAATTACAAGCCCCTCAGACCACAGGAACAATTCATAATATGGATAACTACTCCATCATCCCCAAACAACGATGCCTAAACAATGCAAACTGTGATTCAGTGATGTTCTCAACAACGGAGCTTTCAAAATGTGGACACAGTTAGAGATACTGTGATGGCAGAACCCAGAAATAATTTCAGATATTCAGAAGTAGAATCTGTTGTATTCACAAAGCGTGCGGGCACGGCTTGCATTTCATAACTTCTGCTGATGTTTAATCTTACGAAGCCCTGAAAGATCTAGAGACTGAGCATAAAATAAACATGTGCCTGCAATTCTCAACTGTCATCAGGAGTCTGAAACTTAGGCCACAGAACAGCCACCACGGAAGAGCCACTCACAGGCAGAATGCGTGCCCCGACACAGAACAAACGTCTGCAGAAGACTCAGATAAAATGCTTGGTTCTGAGCTGGCAAGGACGAGGGGGTGGGGGCTGAGAGTTACGGCACTGCCGAGATTCCCAGAGCAGGTCACGGCTCGGACTCGAGGGAAGGCCTCGCACAAGCGGCAGGCCACATACAGCCAGAAGAACCGGAGGCCGAGGCCAACACGAGGGAAGAACCGCAGGAGGCCTCCCCAGCAGGCGGCGCTGCAGCCGCGAGGCGCAGCTGGGACGGACGAGGCGCAGCGGAACCGGCCCGGGCACGGAGCCGCGGGCGAGGAAAGAAAGCGGAGCTCGCGGCCCAGCCCCCGGCCGCACGAGATGGCCGCGGCCGCTCTGCCCGCGGCGGCGGCGCGGGGCTCAGCCCCCGGACCGGAGCCTGCGGGGACCGAGCGGGGCCGGGCGGCGAGGCTGAGCCGCGCCGGGACCCCCCCAGGCCTCCTCCTCCCCCCCCCCCCCCCCGCCCCCCCCGCGGCGCCTCCCCTCTCCCCGTGGCGGAGGAGCGGGCCCCGCCTCACCGTAGGGCTGCCCGCCCAGCTCGTACTGCTGCATGCGGTACACCGTGAACTCGTGGGCGGCCTCGGCGGCGGGCGGCGGGCCCAGCAGCAGGAGCACGGCGGGCACGAAGAGCAGGAAGCTGAGCGGCAGGCACGAGGCCTTCAGCACCGACTCCAGCACCTCGCCCGCCTCCTCCAGCATCGCCGCGGCCCCGGCCCCCGCCCGCCGCTGCGGCCCCGGCACGCACGGCCCGGCACGGAGCGGCGTGACGTCACGCCACACGCACGGAGCGCCGTGACGCCACGCGCACCGCCCGGCCGCGGGGCGCGCCGGGAGCTGTAGTTCGGGGGCACGGGGGCGGCCTGCAGGGGGCCTCCGCCCGCCCCGGGCCTTCCCAGCCCGGCCTCCCGCGGCGGGACCCGGCCCCCTGCAGCCCGCGGGCCCGGGCGGCGCCTGGCGGACGAAAATAAAGGCGGAGCGAGCGGGGCTTTCAGCACGGTTTATTGCGGACGGAGGGGCCTGCTTTCCCCCGGCCGGGAGGAGGAGCGGGGGCAGCCGCGGGGAGCGGGGCGAGCCCCCGGCGGGCGCGGGGCCGTTCCGGGGCCGTTCCGGGGCCGGGCGTTTTTCCGGGCCTGGTCTCGCCCTCCCGGTGCCGGCGGCGCTGCTCGGCCGGGCCCAGCCCAGCGCCCAGCTCTGCGGCGGCAGAGGGAGAGGGGTGACCGCTGTGAGCCCGGCTTCCCGGGGCCCTTCCTTCTCTAATGTTGATGACCCCCAGGACAGAGCGTGGGTTATTCCCCTTTTCCAGATGCGGGAGAGCTCCGAGCTGCTGGGATTCCTTTCCCCAGCTGTGCTGAACTTCACAGGGCTTGGGGCAGGCTCCACCCCACTCTGCCCTCAAGGTGATGACACAGTTCCAGGCCGTTGAAGTGATTCTTGCAAATCTGTTCTGTTGCAAAATGTTCTTTTTCAAAAAGGTTCCTGGAAGGATGCAGCCTTTTTGTCCCAGAAAGGAAGAGGAAACGAATCATGCTGCTTACGTTCAGGTGTAATCCAGACCCCACAGGAGACAATAGGACACAAAGGCATCTGGAAGCTGCTGCTCAGCCTCCTGGCAGTGCCTACTGTAATGGGCACCGCCGCTGTGCAAGGAACTTGGTTTTGCTGGAGCACGACCCACATGGCACTGCAGCTGCTCTGCTCTTACCCAAAGGGTTTGGCCAGATGCCATGGTGGCACCAGACACCAGAGTCATCATCCTGTCGTACCTCCCGTTGCACACGGTGGTGCTAGGGCTGTCAGTGCAGGTGCAGACCCGTGCCCAGAGGCACAGCAGAGCTCTTCTTGCTTCCAGGCCAGAAACAGTCACAGCGCTTGGCTGGGCACAGTGCCCACCTCTGCACTCCTGCGAGGGATGAGGCTGCTGCTGCTGCCCTTTGCCGGTCCTGTGAGAGGTTTGTGCTGCACAGCAGGTGGGCACGTGGCTCTTGTCCAGGGACCTCTGAGGTGACCCCAGCCATGCACATTTTCACTTGCAAACCCAGTTCCTGACTCCCTGCGAAGACATCGAGCCCACATTCCTTTCCAGCAGCTGTGCCCACTGCAGTGACTCCAGAGTCTATAAGCTACAGGAGAAGACTCAGGTGTCACCTCCAGCCCTGCATGACATGCTGGGGCAGCACTAACAGCCTAGCCTGACCCTAAAGGGTTGGGGCAGTCTAGATGGGGGTAGCCATCCCATCCCTCATCGTGTCTTGGGGCAAAATTGGGGCAGGTACAGCACCTATGTCCGTGCACACACAGAGCAGGGCCCACCTGGAAGCTGGGCACAGCAGTTGTCTCAGCATGGCATCGATCCCAGACCATGCCCATATCCCATTGGGGCAGCAATGACTGTTCCCATGCTGCACCCACAACGAAGCAACGTCCTGGTCAAAAGGGGCTGGGAAGCCTGGCCACGGTTAACAGCTGAAGTGAGGCAGCACCCGGTGAGCCCAAGCTGAACATCAGACAGTTCTGACAGGCCAGAACCAGCAGCGTGAAGTCCTGGTGGGCTGTCTGGCCATCTCTTCTCTCCCCATGGCCTCTCAGAGGCTGGGGAGGTTGCTCATCATGCTGGAGTTGCTGGAGAGAGGTGCTCTGGGCCGGGCATTCAGAGCCACAGAGCTGCGGAAGCTCTCCCGGTAGCGCAGGGAGCTCTCTGTGGATGAGCCAGAGTTGATGTCTGTGATGACCAGGCAGTCCCCAGGCTTGCAAAGCCCAACCCTGAGGCAGCAGCAGCACAGCAGGCTTCCCACAGCACGGCGCACCTCCACGCTGCGGAGGGAGTAAATGATGGGGTTAACGCCCGAGTTGAGCATGGCCAGAGCCAAGGTCCAGTCCAGGCTGTGGAGGAGTCTGCAGGTTTGTGTCTCACAGAACACATCAAAGAGCATCAGGGCAAAGAGAGGGCTCCAGCAAATGATGAAGGCACCCAGGATCATCAGCACAGTCTTGAGCAAGCGCAGGGATCGTTTGCGGCTGTGCCGAGAAGTGGTTTGCTTAGAACTGGCCTGGACCAGCTGGAAGATGGAGATGTAGAGGCCGATGATCCCCAGGAGGATGATGCTGAACATGACCACAGAGAAGAGGATGTAGTTCTTGGAGTAGAGAGGCAGGAGAACAGAGCAGGCATTGAAGTCGCACAGACAGTTCCAGCCCAGCAGCGGAAGCAGCCCAATAATGAAGGCCAGAAGCCAGCAGGAGATAATGAGCCCGCGCAAGCGCAGGGTCTTGCTGGCTTCGTTCTCAGCAATTGGCCTTACCATGGCACTGTAGCGCTCAATGGCCGTCACAAGCAAGCTGAAGGTGGAAGCAGCCAGCGCGATGAAGAGGATGCCTTCCCGGAGGAACCAGAGCTGAGGTGAAAGCTGGAAGGTCTTCTTGCCTGAGAGGCAGAGATTAGAAAGGTAGGCAACGCCTGCAAGCAGGTCGCTCACGGTGATGCTGGCAATGCAGGAGTAGACCCAGCGCCGGGCTCGCAGGCACCGCAGGATGGCCAGCAGCACGAGCAGGTTCTCCAGGATGATGATGCAGCTGATGATGACAAAGGTTGTGCGGATGAGGCCCATGCCCTCGTCCCGGGACTGCCGGTTGGTCAGCTTTCCTGTGAAGTTATAGTGCTGCAGGATGATGTTCACATTCCTCATGGCAGCCAGCTGCAAGCAGGAACCTTTCCTGTCGAGGAGGTCCAATCTGAGCTCAGGATATTGAGCAGAGCCCAGTGGAAAGGGGAAGGAGCGATTCACCAGCCAGCTCAGCCCTGGGCCATCCATCTTCCAAGCCTATGTCAGCAGCCGAGGGATGCACAACGGAGCAAGGGTCGAAGTGGCGTTGGGAGCAGGGCAGACCTTCTGTTTGAGGGCTGGAGGCAGGTGTGAGTCTGCCCTTGAGGCCAGCAGCTCTGCCCAGTGTGGAGATGAGAGTTAGACCCCTGTCTGCCAGCCCTGCGGCACTGAAAGAGCAATGGGAGAGAAGGGTGAGGTGTTTTGTAAGGCCACGCGTGAGCATGGGCTTCCTGTTGTTTAATAAAGTTTCCTGTTGTGAACTAGAGTATTGACATGGTCTCTGGCAGCTGTCAACATTTCTCAGTAAGGAGAAATGAGAGGGTGGGATCCGTTGGTTTGATCAAAGCCAAACGCTAGCAGGAGCACCCAGACAGCCGAGGCACTAACAGCTTTGCCTTTTGTGGCGTGAAATTCACTCCTGAGCCTGGCTGAGAGCAACTGCCCCATCATTGAGTGCCCTGCGCACCACCCGTGCCCAGACTCATCCTTCTCCAAGAGGAAGCTCCATGCTCCCATGCAATCTTCTGGGCTCCCAAGTCCTGTCCTATCGAAGCAGCAAGTCCAGGCACCTGGGTGTTTGAAGCTGGGGCTCAGCTACTCCCAGCTCAAAGGAAACCAGCTGGTCAAAGCCTTACTTGTGCCCTGGTGCTGCACACTCCACCTTCTGCTCTCCAAGCATCTGCTAGAGATGGGTCAGGGTCTTCCCACTGCCTAGGTCCATGCAGGGAAACTGAGGCACAAAGCTGCTGCCTCTTGCCTCGCGTTGCAGAAGGGGCATGGTGCCATGGCTGGGACCAGAAGCCCGGGGTCCTGACCTGACTGCAGCATTAACATCTACCACTGATCATTCCCTATGTCTGCAAAACCTGACTGGAGATGTGTTCTTGCAACACGTTATTCCCAGCCCAGCTGTTGTTTGCCTCGTGACTCACCTGTCACGGCTGGCCCGAGGCTCTCGCTGCAGGAGGGAGGCTCAGCAGCCAGCAGTGCTCTCCAGCTGCTCGTCCAAGGCCCAGCACAGAGTAGGTAGTGGGGAGAGCTCCTTGTATGAAATAAGTGAGATTTCCACCTACCGAAGTGAAAAAAGGGAAGTTACAACATCAACCACATTTCTCTGGCAGGATGGACCCACCCAACAGATGCAAAGAGACATAGAGAAAAGAGCATCTTTCAGCTCAAGATCATGGCAGAAGCTTTGCCCTGCTGTCTGCTTTCACCTTTGTTCTCACTCTAGACTGGCACAAAGTCAGGGAGAGGCCCCCAGTTTTCTGCTTTCTGCTTTCTCCCACTGGCATGGCGAGCAGGGATCCTGGGAGCCAGCCCCTGCTTGAGGAACAGAGAGGTCCTAGCCTGGGTCATGACATGGGCAAGTGGAAAATGCAAAGGGGGCTCCTGCTGCAGGAACTCGTGCAAGCAAGAATGGTTCTCATTGAGAGCTGAGGGCTCGGTCCTCCATGGTGGCCCTTTCTGCTGGCAGTTTGGGCTTTTCTGTCAGCAGAGGTCAGAGCACAGCACTGTATAGGCTGCTGCAGGGAAGGTTAACAGCCCAGCCAGACCCAGTACAATAAGCTCACGCTGATAAAGTCAGCAGACCCCAAGCTTGAGGGAGCAGAAATCAGCAGGAAGGCTGGGCTGTGAGCACAGTGCAGGCCAGAGGAGAGGAGTTCAAGGGCACACCTTCAGCACCCAGAGCTCACTCCCAAAGGGGCTGGACAGACACTCCCAGCACAGCACTGGAATCAAAAGGGCCAATGCGACTCTTGTACATCCTTCCGCGTCGTTCTTGCTTCAGGTTGGGCCTCCAGCAAACACGTCTGCTCCTGTAGGCAGAGGACAGTTGGCAGGAAATCCCTAAAAAGATCCCAAGGGTCCAGAGCAGCTTCTCCAATAGCTGTCAGAATTAGCAGCCTTAGAAAGGAGATGGCTGGCAGGAGTGAGCTCTTTGCCAGGGAGATCTGCAGAGAGCATGGTGCAGGTGGGAGGCAAATGGTTTTGATGGCAGGAGGCAGATGAGCACTGGGAAGGCTCCGTGCACCCTCCAAAGGGGTGCTGGGCACGCTCAACCAGCCAAATATCACAGGCTCGTCCTTGTGCCCCTTCCACGAGCACGCCAGGTGCTACACGAAAAGCAGGGCTGATTACTTTATAAAGAGATGTTCCAGTAAAATAAAACCCCATTCCTTGCTCTGCCCTAGCCTCTGGCTTGTTCGGCCTTTTAGTAGAAGAGGGGACCAGGTACCTGTGAAGCTCGCCACGGTTCTACAGCACGTCCGCAATAGGTAACTGTCTCTGGGAAGATGCTGGAGCTGCACCCCAGCACCCGTGGGTCCCCTTGCCCCATGCGGCTGGTCCGCAGCAGGGCCTTGCACAAACCCAGCCCCCGTGCCTGCCACAGAGCTGCTGCTCCCAGCCCCCACAGGGATGTCCCCAGCTTTGCTTGAGGGCACTGAGGCTCCCCCTCAGCAGGGCACCACTGGGGGACAAGTTCCTGTTGTTCTGCAGTGGCTCCCCGTTGCTATCTGCACAGGCACCAGCTGAGCTTCATCTTGATACGTCTCCTTCACTGCCGTTTCAGTTCAGATGTTCTTTCCTTGAAATGAAGGGGCAGAGGAGGGACATGCTGTCCTGCAACATTTGTCATCTCTTTCCTGCAGATCGAGACCACAAGTTACTTGAATCTGCCTGATAGCTGCCAAGTGCTGGCCTTGGAAGGACCGGGGAGGTGCAGGGGCCAGCAGCCACCTCCTGGACCCTCTGCCAGAGCTGTGGCCATGCAGGTGTCCTCAGATGCTGAGATGAAGCAGCTCCATAAAAGAAGCCGCAAAGCCCTCTGCAGCCTGCAGGAAGGCAAGAGTGCCATTGCAGACAGGGGCACCCAGAGATGAGCAGCTTGCAGCATGTCAGGGCACCTGGGCACTCTTGCCCTGCTCCCAGGAGGGTGTCAGGCTCCAGGACAGCTCTGGAGATGGAGGGGTGGGGGGTCTGGCTGCAGCAGCCACAGCCACACCCCACCTCCCTTTGGTGCTGCTCACTGTCCTGTCCCAATGCCCTGAGAAACATCAGTGGGAGCAGCTGTGCAAGGGTTCCCTGCACCAGGCCAGGTTCAGGCAGCTCAGCATCATGCTTAGCTGCTGCATCATGCTGCTTCAGCTCAGCATCACATGCAGGAAAGAGGCCAAGAAGAAGGCAAGAAAGCAACCCTTTCCCTGGCCAGCCTCTGGCAGCATCAGGCAGTCAGCAGATGATGCATCCGGACCACTGCAATTAACAGTTGTCAACAGATTTATCATTCACAAAATCTCTCTCATACCTGTCTAAACTTATTTATATGTTTGACCTTCAAGCTCTACCCAGTGGCAGGTACAGCCTGCTGACTCCAATGCAAGCTACTTGTGTAGGCAGCGTGACAGAAGTAGTTTTATTTACCAAGTAATTTTTAAAAGCTGGACCTTACACATTTCTAATTTTTGCCCAGCCAAACTCCATGCAACTGATGGAAAAAAGAACCATGGAAAGAGAGACGCAAATGCATTTTGAACAGAGAAGCGTTAGGGCAAAGCTGGAGGTGCTGTAGGGGACAGCAGGTTACATCACTGGGCAGGCATCACAGGCTGCAACTCCTGCACTTGAGTTCTGATCAGCCCTGGGGGAGTGACAGCAAGCTACGAATGCAAGATAAAACATCAATGATTTCAGTTGAGGTTTTCCTGCAGTGCTGCTGCACAGCCCCGATTAAAACTTGTATTTACAGACATTCTGATTAAGTGGGTGAAGCTCTGTGGGGAGCTCTGTCCCCCAGCCTCCCTCCCCACACACATCCTGTCCCCACTGCATGGCCTGGTGGGGCACCAGCCAGGGCGTCCAACCACCCCCAGGTGTTTTTCTGCTCCAGGAAGGGTGGAGTTGTGCCGCTTCAGATATGACTGATTGCTCCTGACGGTTGGTTGCAGATGCTTGCTCTGGTCTCTTGCAGCAGGTCATCCTCCCGGTGGCACATCCCATCCCTAGTGCAGCGGGGTACTGCCAGGAGCTGGGGAGGGAGCCACAGCAGGGCCCCCCAGCTGGGAGACACCGAGCCCAAGAGACCAGCCCTTAGGCAGGATCGTCTCAGCCACAGTTGTTGTTCACTGAAATTCAGTGGGTGGGTCTCTGTAGGAATAGAGTTCACTGCAGTGAGCCTCTGCATTTGAAGGAAAACAAGAACATGAAAGAGAAAGTTTTGCTATCGTCTTGTCTTGACCACATTAATGACCTTAAAAGGCAAAGTTTGGTTGATTTTTTTTTTTCTTTAAGTGGTTTTTCTTTAAAAGCTTGACTTTCCTAAAAGCAAAAAACTTTAAGCAGAAAGCAAACAGCTGCATAAAACGCTTCTCCACTCAAAAACCTTGCCTGGGAGTCACCCCAGTGACCCACATCACCCGTGGACCAGCTCAGCCCATCTCCCACGGTGTCACACCTTTCTCTCCTCTGTGCCGGGTTTGTGATTGTGACCCCTTGGATGATTCACAACGCAAGGCCCCGGGCATTTCCAACCCTCATGTCCCGTGGGGCGGCAGCTTCAGAGCCACGCGTCCCCCAGCACCCCTCCCTCCAGTGTGAGCTCGCTCGCACAGCTGCCACCTCCCAAGCCCTGCCCCAGCCACTGCGCGAGGGAACGGCCGGGGAGGGCTCGGGGCAAACAGTGGGGCACAGCAGGGTGCTGGCAGGCGCGCAGCCCAGGCTCCACACAGAGGAAACGGGGCTGGTCTGACACCCAAGGTGGTGGCAGTCCCTCTGGTCTGCCTGCCCCTGACCCTCAGACGCTTTTGTGTTGGAGCAAAGGTCGAGAGTTCTTGAAAGCCTGTGAGCATGGAAAAGACACCTTCAGTGACTGGCGCTCCTTGCTCTTTATCTCCCATGTCGATAAAGATCTTTTCTTTAGCATCTAATTTTCTCTCATGCCCCTTCCAGTAAAGGGTCCTGTTATGACTACAGAATGCAACATGCAATCTCTTCTCAGCAGAGCAGGCACTTCACACAGAATTAACCCTAACAGATTTATGCCTCGCACACAATAGCCCAGGCAAGCTCCAGGGAGCATGGAACAATGCAACAAAGTGGGACAACCTCACAGGAGGGGAAAATGAAGGTAGTTAAGGGCTAGGAAGAGCAATCAGGAAGGACAACTTTAAACAATGCAGGACTGTATGGCAGAGTTCTCTCCGAGATTGCAGGCTGTGAGTCAGGCAGTTCTTCATGCAAGTCATAGGCTCAGCTGCCATCATAGGACACACTTGGAAAGCTGAAGGCCAGAAGGAAACTGCCCACAGCCACCAGCCGAGGCCATGAAAGAGCCAGAAGTAGGAAGAACATAGGTGTCCTGAGCATCAGGCCCATGCCTCTCATACAGTGATTTGGTCACCTCTTTGAACAAGGGTCACCTGTGGCAGTCTGATGACGGTCTCTATTGAGGACTACAGCCAGGAAGGGGTGAGTGCAGCATGACTGGTGCTCAGCTGAGCATTTAGCCAAATCACCCCTTGCTAGGGGCAAGCTGAAGACAGCAATTGCAGCATGGTTTGCAGGTGATTTCAGGCCAGGGAACGAGGGGAGCAGTGAATCCAGAGCAGGATGGATGAAGCCTCCTGAACAGGTGTGCTAGTGGCCAGACCAGCTGCAGAGGCAGCACCTACAGTCATTGAACTGGACAAGAAAGTGTGAAACGACCTGACCCCTCCTGGAGCACGTGCCAGGAGCTAGAGGAGGTGCAGTAGGAGACAGCCTGATTGACAGAGCTGGAGGACACCATGCTTTGAAACAGCCAGATGTGATCTGTCCTGCAACCAAACTGGGGAAGAAATGCTAAATCACACCCTGGAGATCCCCTTGGACACCTCTCCCGGCTGGCACCACTGTGGCTTTGGCACCATTCTGCACTCTGCCCTGGCCTTTCTGTCTTGCATATCGCTCACTGATCACAGCCTCTGAACACGCAGGCATGTGAGCAGGCCAGGCAGCAGAGATGCAGATAGACCGTCAGGGTTACTGCACTGCTCTGATTAGCACAATCAGGCCATCGCACATGGTTTCCTGGCTGCTGGTACAGCTGGTCCCAGGGTATAAAGCCAGCCCTTGGGCACAGGGATGCTAAGACTTCCACATAGCCTGGCAGCAGCACCCAGTGGTGGGAGATGTGCCAGTCCCAGCTGCTCCTGGCCCTGCTGCTGCTGTTCTGCCTGTGGGCTGATACCAGTAAGCTGGGGTACTGCGAGGGTCTGTGCAGGAGGCTGCTGGTCTGGGCTGTGGCCTCAGCAGCTCACTCTGCAGTGGGATGTCTTTCAGGTGCTCTATGGGGTCAGATTGTGGGAGGCCATGAGGCTCAGCCCCACTCCCACCCTTACATGGCATACCTGAAGATAGGGAAGTTCGCCTGCGGAGGCTTCCTGGTGGCCCCTGACTGGGTGATGACAGCTGCACACTGCATGGGGTGAGTACCTTGTACAGGAGCTTTGCCCACCTCTTTCTCCCCTAACCAGAGAGGTCCATCACTAGAGTCATCTTGGAGCTGGTTCCTCTTTCTCCTGCACCTAGCAGCTCTCTCCACCTGCCTGAGAAAGGGCAGGGAAGCAAGTGTGACCCAGCCTCTTTTCCTCCTCTCTCTTCTGCTGCCGTGGTCAGGAATGCCACAGTCATCCTGGGGGCTCACAACATCTATGAACCAGAAACAACGCAACAAGTCCGTGGAGTTCTCAGATACCACCGGCACCCTGAGTACGACCCCAGAACCGTGTCTAACGACATCATGCTGCTCAAGGCAAGGCAGGCCTGCAGGGTGGAGGTGGGCTGTGGGCATAGCAGGGGCTGAGCAGAGCACCATCATGCTGTTGGCTTCTCCTGCAAGCCATCACCTTCTTCTGCCATGGGTGCTGGATTGGGAGGGACCCAGGAGGGAAGCATGGGCAGGGCTTGTGTCTCATGCCATCTTCGCAGCACCTCACCAGTACTTGCGGTGCTGTACGCCCCTCTGCACCTCCCCTGTCTCTGCGGGTGGAGTGTCCTCCAGCTGCTCACAGCCTTCTCCAAAAGCTTTGCTCTCTCCCAGCTGACAGCAAAGGCCACACTCAACAGCTACGTCAAAACCATCCCCCTGCCCAAGACCAGCGGCTACCTCCCCACAGGCACCAAGTGCAGCATAGCTGGTTGGGGCCTGATCGACAAGGACCAGGAAACCAGCAAGCTCTTTGAAACCAAAGTCACCATCTACAGCCGCAGGAAGTGCATCCACTTCTATCCACACCTCAATGCTGGCATGGTGTGTGCCGGCAGCTTCCACGAGCTGAGGGACTCCAGCCAGGTACAGCTGAGGGGCTCAGCCACAGGGCAGGGGGCTGCTTGCAGTGGGGGCTGCTCCTGGCACAGGCTCGGTAGGATGCCAGGAGAGGTGACTAGAATGCAGTTCCTGTGCCCGCGTGGACGGGCTCCCGGGATGCCCCTGGCATCCTGATCCATGTGCGGTCCCGGGGGCAGAGCCCCAGCTTGCCTACTGTGGGCAGCTCCTGCATCGGGGCAAGCAGGAGCAGGCTGACTCTAATGGCAGAGGCTGGGCAGGAGGGCTGAGGTAGGACCTGATCCCACAGTGGCTTTGACAACTGGTCTCATCTGTCCTCAGGGTGATTCTGGTGGGCCCCTGGTGTGCAATAAGGTGGCACGAGGCATCGTTTCCTTCGGGCATGACAACCCCCCCGGGGTCTATACCCGCATCTCCAACTACCTGCCCTGGATCAAGAAAACCATGAAGAAGTAACAGCAACACCAGCGCAGCCCTGGGGACATCCTGGTTTCCTTCCTGCCCCTACCAAAGGCTCAGCTCCCTCTCCTTTCCTTGGGAACCCAAGTGCCCCGATGTATGCCCGCAAGGGCCCGTTTCTTTGTTCTGAGACTGCTGTCCCACTGTCTGCCTGTGCCAGGAAGCCAGTTTGGTGCCACATTAAGTCAGCCTGGCAGAAAGGAGGATAGTCCCAGGTGGCACCAGAAAGGGGCAGTACCACTGGGGATCCCATTGCCTTCAGAGACATCCCTGTCCCTGCTTAAACCTCGCTGCACTTGAAACACCCACAGTAAACTCAGAGCTGCCTTTTTTAGCATATCTGTCTCCTCCTTCCTTGCACCTTGTCCCGGGGAGGAGGGAGGGCTGGGCCAGGTCAGCAGTCAGCCTGCTGGGACAGAGGCAGCAGGAGCTCTGCAACCACCAGGTTGCTACCAGGCTGGGAGAAAAAGAGCTGCAGCTGCTGCTCCTGGAGCTACGGCGAGACTGCCGTAGGGAGCGATATGGCCAAGCTGCAAGTGGGGCGGGTGGGGGCTCACTGCAGGTGGGCAGGTTTTCCTGTGAGGGGCTCCCAGCGGGCCTCAGCCAGGGAGAGTGGCCACGCACAGCTCAGGGCCCTGTGCTAGCTCGCTCAAACAGTGCTTGCATAGGGGATCTGCTTCCCCTGCCCATTGCGGGGCAGTGATGGCAGAGAGCTGGGAGGCGAGGGGAAGCGATGTGCACACACCCCATTCACCAAGTTCAACAATGTCATGAGCCCTCCAGCGGCCAGTCCTCAGTCTTCCTCCTCTAGAGCAGCTGCATGATGCCCTGAGTAGAGACATGCAGACTCTGAAATGATCATTCTCAAAGTGTTAGTAAAGGACCTGAGTCTGCAAAGGCACCCAACTCCGTGCTGCTGTCTCCTTGCTTCCCAGGCCAGCTATTGCAGGATAGCCTGACCCTTTCCCTGGGGAAAATCAGGGTGAGTTCTTGCTGGGAGCTATCAGCATGGAGCTTGTGGGCACATTCCTGCCCCTCTCAGCAAAACAAGCTCAGCCCTCGCAGCATAGACTGCTGTAGCAGCAGCACAAAACCAAAAGGTCTCACAGCTCTCAGCCAGGCGACACTTGGAGCTCAGCTTCTGCTCCCCACAGAAGATGCACCATCCTCAGACAGCCCCTGCATGGGAGTCTGACCACTCTGCACTAAGTTTCCCTGAGCCTCAGGCTTCTCTTTAATTCCAGACACCATTTTTGATGGTGTCTCTACAGAGATAGAAGAGGGCCAGGCACTCTCCTGGAGGAGATGACGCCAGGCAGGACAGTGCTCCAGTAAACAAATACACTGCGCCAATCCCTAGCGCAAGATGCCAGACGTCTATGCAAGTTCCAGGGGAGATCAGGCTGGTTTGCAGAGGGGAAACCCAGTGGGAAATTTTGAACATACAGAAACTGTGTGCAATGCAAGGAAACAGGATGCTTGCCTTGTACTCATAGCCTTTCCCAGCTTTCCACTTAGCCACTTATGTCAGAGGGAGGAGATAGCCTCAATACGCCTGTGGTCCAGCCGCAGCTGCGTGCTCTCATGCTCCCTCTGCCCCTGCCTGGGGCAAAAGGAGATGATGCCACTTTTGTCTTCAGCCCACACCATTCTGGGGAAACTCAGAATGGTCCACGGTTTGGGCTTCTGCTAACAGCTGCTATCAACCAGTAGATCTGCAAGTGAAAAGGCTGCAACTGCTTATCTTCGGAGTACAAATCTTTGTCACGTCAGGGTTTTCCTTGAAGCTCCAGCTGCTGCAGTCTTTGCACGAGAATGGCAGCTTTCAGATTAAAAAAGGGTTTTGCCCTGCAGCACTGGGGGTAGGAGGGAAGGTGAATTTACTGGCAGCCAGCGAGGATGCATCAGTCCCATTTCGTCACAGCCCAAAGAAGGAACTTCTGGTGGGGCAAGTGAACGGGCATGCCAGCGTGGTGTGGGCGAGCGGTGGGGGTGCCCCAGAGACCAGCCCCCAGTCTGTCCTCCCCACGGTGCCAGGAGCAGCAGGTGCAGCCCTGGCTGGGGTGGACTTGGACACGACACCTCCCCGAGAGCCAGTGGGCAGTGAAGAGGCAGCATCCCAAACACACATCCCTCCCCCTCACCCACCCTCAACAGACCAGAGGCAAAGGCAGCCCTGGCTCCAGGCAGCATCCTCCGGTCTTCTCTCCTACCAGCCAGCAAAGGAGCAGTGACCCCCCAGTTCAGCGGGAAACAATCACACTTAGGTTAAGGTACAGTAAGGTAGCTGGAAGAGACCTTCAAAGATCATCTAGTCCAACTGCCTGACCACTTCAGAACTAACCAGCAGTTAAAGCATATTATTCAAATGCCTCTTGAACCCTGGACAGCCATGGGGCATCAGGCTTGCTAGGAAGCCAGCTGCAGTGTTTGACCACCTAAACTGGAAAAAGCATTTTCTGGAAAGAAACACTTAAAAGGGGGTCTTTTGCCATACAAAACAGAGCTCCAGATCAGCAGCTGGGGCAGAGCAGAGACCTTGTGGTGCTAGCAGCAGTCATGCTGTTGTGGGCCAGGCTTGTGAAGCTGCTCAAACAGCTCCTTGCCCCAGGCAGCCATAGCCAGGGCAGCAGTATGGATACACGCACACCAGTTTTGCGAAGACTGTTCCTTAAACCAGGACTACACCTGCTGAAAAGCAGCAGGAGGGTTTTCAACTGCCTCCTTGGAATTGGTGCATCAAGTAAAACGAATCTTTTTTTTTTTTTTTTTTTTTTGCAAAGCTTATGATAAAATCAAAAGACTACGCAAGAGCACAACAACAAATACAAGCTGCAATGTAACGGTATGCTGGCAGGCAAAGTGACAGGGTGGGTGCACTCCTTCCAGCTTGGAGGCAATGGGTTAATACTGGCTCTGGGTCCAGACAGGTGTCAGACGCCTCGAATCAGTCCCAAGCTGAAGGTGGGTTGATGCCCAAGGCTGACTGAATTCCCCCCTCAGATTGCTGAGGTGTGCAGTTTGCAGAGAGATTAATCAGATGAGTCTGACCTCTGCGGTTTCCTGGAGCCTAGTCTCAGGGTATAAAAACTTCCTGGGAGCAGGAAGAGACCCCAGTTGCAGCCTCACCTCCAAGGCATCCACCGAAGCCGAGCACGCTGCGATGGAGCACCTGCAGAAGCTCCTGCTCGCCCTCCTGTTGGTGGCATGTCCTCCGGCCAAAGCCAGTGAGTAGAGCGGGCACAGTGTGGGGCGAGGGCTGGGGAAGGCAGAGTCTCGGCCAGAGTGTACGGCAGCCCCTCCTGGCCCCTCATCCTCAGCCCAACACATTGCAGGTCATGCCTGGAACCGGATGGCAGGAGCAGGCAGAGCCAAGGCCCCCGCCAGACCCTACATGGCTTATCTGGAAGGGAAGAACGGCCACTTCTGCGGGGGCTTCCTGGTGGCCCCCAGCTGGGTGATGACAGCAGCTCAGTGTTTCAGGTAAGATTTCTCTGCACAGCACGTGGCACACTGAGGTTGCTGGGCTGCCATGATCCTAGACGGAGGTCTGATAGCTTCCTTCAGCAACAAAGCCTTTTCTAGCCTGGAGCGAGGCCGCACTGCAGGGACAGGATGGGCTGGCACCCAGCAACTTGGCTCTGTCTGCGGTTCCTCCTCAAGCCGCCCAGCCCTGCAGCCTCCCCAGCACACACTTGGATGCTTATCTTTCTTTTTTCCCCCTCTGTGGTCCATTCCTAGATGTGAACAGTCAGAAATTGGGCCAGCTTCTCCCCTTGCTGCCACTGACCTGCTGGCTTAGCAGGGGTGGCTGGTGCCAGGCTCTGCCCTTTCTGCCACCACTGACCTGCCAGGCTGCTGTACAATTCAATGGTCTCATCAGTGAGCTGCTTTCCCAGCTCTCTTCCATCCCTCCAGCTCAAGGAGCTGGGGCAGTGGCAGGCAGAAGGGGCCCAGCTACTCACACACGTGCTCTGGGTATCGGTACTGGCAGCTCTGCCCCCAGGCCCCAGGCCTGAAGGGCAGAAAGGAGCATCAGAAGAATCTGGCCTGGCTGAGGGCTGTCCCCTACCCCAGATCTTTCCCCACTTTCCAAAGGCAGCCCCTGCTGCCAATGGTCCTTGTGAGTATTAGCCGAAATTAGTTGATCTTGAGATCCAGAGGCAAAGTAACCCATGGCATGCAGAGCCCCACTCTGTCAGCCAGTGATGCACTCTGCCCCCTGGCTGGGTGGGCTCACCTGCAGGACTCCTTGCTCTCACAAGTCTTCAAAGCCCAATCCATGCCCCCAGGCTATGCCTTGGTATCACCAAGACAAAGTCAATGACATACACTGTGCTCATTCTCACTAGCCACAAACCTTTGACTGTCATCCTTGGAGCCCACAACATTCAGAGAAGAGAGGAAAGCTGGCAAATGTTTGAAGTCCAGAGGTATCACCGCCATCCAGACTTCACCAATCGCATGCAGGGAAATGACATCCTCCTGCTGAAGGTAACTGCCCACCCGTAGCGCCTGTGTGGTCCTGTCTGCCCGAACTCACTACGTGCAGGGCTGAGCTGTGACACTGGAGTGGGAGGGGACATCCTTCAGCACAACCCATTTACAGACAAAATACTTATTTCTATATTTTCTGTCTCCTTGCCCAGCTGAAAGGCAATGCTACCAGCAACAGCTACGTTAGGACCATTTCCTTCCAAAAAATAAAGGCCTCTGGAGGGACGGTGTGCAGCATAGCTGGCTGGGGCCACAAGGCACCCACTGCGACATTCCACGAAGCCAACGTCACCATCCACAAACAAAGGGACTGCCTAACCATGTACCCTGGACTTGCCAACAACTTGATCTGTGCCAACAGTGGATCTGCTGGGGTGCCTGAAGAGGTCAGTTGGACATGGGGAGTGGATGGCTGCAGGGCAGGACTCAGACAGGTCCTAGGCACAACATGGTTTGGGCTAAAACCTCCACTGAAGAGGTGCTGTCTAAAATTGCTTGTCATTGTCAGCCCCCCCAGTCAGTCCACAGTTCTTCACCAGCATCCCACTCTTGCTGTCCTGGCACAGGAGCTAAAGAGGTGCTGTGGGTCTTGATTTCCAGGGATCTAACCCTCACAGGGGCACCACTCTTGTGCACAACACCCAGGATTCTCCACAACAGGACAACAGCTTGGCTGAAGAGGGGTTTGCCCTAAATTTCAGAGCTGGGCTGAATGCATTTTGTAGTGCTGTGCAGCCAATAGAAGGGTGGAGATGAAGTGATGCTTCAGGCTATACTATTTGTCACTGTGCTGGTCCCAGACAGAACTTACAGGTCCTGTTTGGACCCAGAGCTGTCCACACCCACAGAGAGTCCCAAATTCTCCAGGAAAGCTCTGTCCTCATATCTGCAGCCTCCCTGTTCTTTGCAAATGCACCCACCTTCCCCCCAATCAACACTGATCTCTCTTATTTTATAGGGTGATACTGGGGGACCACTTGTCTGCAACAACAAAGCCTATGGTATCTTCTCCTATCAGTACAAGAACCGGATTGGCTTCTACACACACATTGCTCCCTACCTTCCCTGGGTTAACAGCATCATGAAGTCGGCGTGACTCCACACAACCCAGCTGCTGCCCTGGAAAGCTCATGCACCAGGGCTCACACTCACCTGCTGCTGCTTCTTTTCTCCCTGGGAAGCTTCTTCCACCGGTCCTCGTGGATGTGGCAAGGAGTTCTCTCCAGCAAAGCAGGGGGCTTTGTGCAGAATTTGCACCTTGACTGAGCCTGTTCACCGTGCGAGCTAGGGAGCACCCACGTGCACCACGCACCTTCCCTGCTCCGGGCTGCCCTTTGGCCAAACCACTTGTGGCTCCAGTGAGAGCAGCAGGGCAGGCCCAAGTGAGGTGACCGCAGCTACTGGGACATGTTCCTGGGGGATCCAAAGAGCAACCTCCTCCCCACCCCTGGCATTCGTGATGCCTGGATCACCCTTGCCCATGCCCTGGGGTTACAGGGTTGTCCCAGCTCCAGGGGGAACAACACTTTCAGCTCCCGCTTCACTACTGATGCTGTCCCCTACCTCTGAAACTCGCTGCCTCATTTCTTCCCTCTTGCTGTAGCTCCACTGTTGTAAAAATACATAAAAACAATAAACTGCATGTGCATTTGAGAGCCTTCTATGATTTGAATTTGTATTAGTCTGGGTCCAGTCCTGAACAGCTCAGAAGAAAGTAATGGCCCAAAGTGCTGAATCCCAAGCTGAAAGTTTCTACCTAACCAGTAGCCTCCATTTTCTGTCCCACCTAAACCCACCGAAGAGGTGTCAAGCCTGGCATTCAGGGCAGGGACAGCCTCTTTGCCCTCTCTCAGCAGTGCAGAGGGCTTGGTCAAAACTGAAGAAGTCAATGAGTGATCTTCCAGCAGGAGATCATCTCCCCCATGTGATGCCACGTGAGCAGGCAGGAAAGGGGAGAGGGCACAGAGCACCAGGAGTGCCTGGGCTGCAGGACTGCTCACACCATGTCCCTGCTGGTGCCCTGGGGGTGGATGAGCCTTCCCCATGCCAGGGCAGCCCTGTGATAAGCCTCACCAGTGGCCGCTTCTTAGGCGGAGGACAGCACGAGCACCAGAGCCAGCTGGAGTTCAGCTACCCGAAATCCAGGATGCAGGGTTTCAGAGAAGAGGAGGCACAGAGGCTTCCTGGAAACCATGACGCCTGCCCAGCCTACCCGGAAGCAGAGGACCCTGCGGGGGTGCTGCCTTGTTTCCCACCTCATTTCCCACCCTCCCAGGGCATGGAGCAGGACAGAGAAAGCAGGGAGAAGGGTGGTGGTTTGAGAGAAGAAGAACCCCACACACCTGGCATGCTCAGAGGGCTGACTGCCCACCAAAATCAAAATTCCACGTTTTCTGGGTACCACAGGGGTGCAGAAGAGATCTAAACCTCTTGCTGTTCCACGTGGGTACCACCAGCCCATCCCAAGAGGCAATAACACCGAGCATGGGCACCAGCTAGCCGCACAGATTCATTTAGGAGCGAAGGCTGTGGTCCCAGTTAAAGCCAGACGCTGTGGGCAGCGAGAGCATCAACCCTCACTGTCAGCAAGAGGACAATGCAGCATTGCACAGCACTGAGCACAGCTGGGCCTTGAGAATAGACTGTAAGACACTGCTGCAATACGTAGTTTTATCTCAGATCTCTGCCTGTCCATAAAAGGATAAAGTCAATCTGTAGCTATAAAGGAAACGGAACTGGGAGCCCTGCTCCTGTCCCCGTGCTTTAACCATATTGTCACCCTTCTCTTCCTACAAGCCCCTATAATTTGTGATAACATCCAACCACTGTACTGAGGCACAAACTCCACAGAAGCAGCCCCCATTTCAGTGTTTCAGGAAAGAAATCACACCCAGAGATTCAAGAGATTTGTATGCCTGGTTGTACTGGAAACAAGAGTGAAAGGTACAGGTATTAGATCATCAGCAACCCATAAAATCACGGGGGTTTCTCTGCTACATATTACAGTATTGGCCAAGGGCCCTGGTGATAGTAATGCTGCCATGCTCAGTGCTGTGAGTGTGTGCAGCAGAACCAGTCCTCCCTCTGAGGATGCTGAAGAAACATGACAAAAGATGAGAGAGGCTTGGGTTGCTGGTGGCAGCTCTGGTTGCTGTGGCTGGGCCCAGGCAGGTGCCCACCAGAGAAGTCCTGGCAAGTTCCCTGCCGCATGCAGGTGTCCCTCAAGGCACTTCTAGACATTTGAATCCTTTTAGTGAAGTTGGCAGCAAAGAGAAGAACCACCAAAGCTTGGTGCTCAGCAAACGGTTTCTCAGAATCACAGAACTGTAGGGGTTGAAAGGGACCTCAAGAGCTCACCGGGTCCAACCCCCCTGCCAAAGCAGTTCCGTAGAGCAGGCTGCCCAGGTGGGAGTCCAGATGGGCCTTGAATATCTCCAGAGAAGGAGACCCCACAGCCTCCCTGGGCAGCCTGTCCCAGAGCTCCGTCACCCTCACCAGGAAGAATTTCTTTCACATGCTGGTGCGGAACTGCCTGGGCTCCATTTTTTGGCCATTGCCCCATGTCCTGTCCCCACAGACCACTGAAAAGAGGTTGGCCAAATCCCAATGTCTCCAATGTTTTTTCCAATACTTCATAGTTTTGGACAAAACTTAAAGACCCCCCCCTCTTCTGAAACTGAGCTTACAAATATTACATCTGAAGGATATTGATCTGGACATCTGGCAAGTGACTTAGCAAGAGGATGAAAAGAAATTAACTTTCTGTCCGGTGCTTGGGATTTCACTGACAAAAATAAAATAGAAGAGACAAGGAAAAGCCCGAACTTCCAGGTCCCACTATATTTTCAAGTTTACTTCACAACAGCTGATCTGGAAAAAACATTTTGGTACATCCCCAGCCATAATGTGCCTCTTGTGACCGAAACAGCAATCTTGTCCAAGTCACAAAGCCAGGAGCTGTGTCCCGGGCCCTGGACACCCCCAAGGAACATGAAGGTCCCCAGCAGCTGGTGGCAGGGACTAAGCGGGCAACCCTGACCCGCAGTCACAGGCACCTTCCAGCCCGGCTGCTCGCTGCCCCAGCAAGGAGAGGGGTGGGTGAGGTGGCAGCTCCCCGGTGCCAGCGGGCGCAGAGCCCCCCAGCCTCTCACAAAGCTCAAAAGGCAGAAATAAAATCGCAAATACTTTTTAAGAGAAGACTTGAGATCGCAGAAGTGCAGGCTCTTCCTACCAGTAAAAATTGTCAGCAAAACTCTTCAATTCTCTACAGAATTGCAGGAAAAAAAAAAAAAATCTGTGAGGCAGCTTTTTGAGGAGGCCCTCGCCCAGACGCAGCGATGCACGCGTGGTGCACCGAGACCTGAGGGGGGCTGAGGGGGAGCTGAGGGCCCCCCACCAGCGCCTGCCTCTCCTCGGAGCTGAGGTCACTGCCATTGCTGGGCGGTGAGGGAAGACGTGATAGAAGTGACGGATATGGCACGTTTTACACAGACAAAGGGCAGTCCAAGACCTACAGCTCTGAGTTCCGAGTATGAAAACACCAGCTCCATTCACTTGCCTCTCCCCCACCACGTGGCTTTCCAGACGTACTGGTTTTGACTGGGATTCAAAGTGAGACAGTGGTCAAAGTTCAAAGTATGTCCAAGCAGGGCAGGGGGGAGAGGAGAGCTCTGTGGTAATCTTCTATTCAGACTGATTTCCTGTGCTGTTAGGAGGGCTGGTTCCTCTCCTCACTTTGCTGCAGACAGCATGCAGCCACTTCAGGCTCAGAGCTGGGAGGCACAGGAACCCGTTGAGCATTGTGCTGCAATGACACCACAGGCCACAACAGGAGAAAATCTGAGCCTACACACATCCGCAGAGCAAACACTTCACTTACACTCCTCAGTGGCGCGGCTTTGCTCTGGCCTGAACTCGTGCTGTGCTCTTGAGGGATTTCAGCTGGGACAGGAGAGCCCTGGCCCTCCAGGCACAGAAGGAACTTGAGTTAATGAGATAAATGCAATGCAAGCCTGGCTGGGGCATGGAGCGGGGTTTTCAGTCAAGTGGTGTGGCTGGTCTAGTAACAGGAAAAGCAATCAGCTGAAGAAATTAAGGGAAACTGGGAGGGGGAGGGGGTTGAAGGGGCCAAACCTGCCTCTCTGTTGCTAGAAGTACTGCGGTAGTTTTGTATCACGCAGATTTCAAACATGGCAAAATTACCATTCTTCTAACTGCACAGAGAGAAGGGACAAAAAAACAGGCCTGGGTAAAGCACAGGAACCCAGCATACTTCATCAGATTAGAACAGACAAATGACATTCTAAAATCAAAGACTAGGGGTTTAGAAAACTACCAGTGAGAGCATCTGTCTTTGTGAACTCCAACTTCAAAAAAGTTTTGAGCAAGCTTAATTTTACCAACCACCCCTTATTCTTAAATCATCTTAACCCTGTACATACTTTAATTAACAGTCTACAACAAAAGTTTCCTGACTGCAGAAATACAATGCCCAAGTTTTTAAAATGTAGCAGCAAGCTTGAAGTTCTCGTGTTAACACACAACCCGATATGTTTTATTTTTCAAGATACACCTCTGGGGAGCGCTCATTTTTCCTTATGCTCACCTGTGCATAAAGGTAACTGGTTAGGCCCCGTACAGCACCTGCAGAAACCCTGAATACAAAGAAGTTACCATTCCCGGTACTTTCCAAAGCTTGTAATTCAAAAACTTGTCTGGGCTCCCCCGCCGTTTTGTGACTGAGGAGCCCCCAGCCCCCAAGGTACCGCACTCCTGGCTGCGGGTGCTGGCTCCAGGCAGGGAACAGGCGCTGGGGGTTCTCCACGCACACGCTGCCCTCTTCAGGTTCGCAGCTGCTCTCCAAGGTTCTCAGAAACTCCTGAACTGACCCAGCCTTACATCTAAAAATCCTTTTCAACAAAGCAGAAGACTGCAGCTTGGAATTAAGGGAAGCATCTGTCCAGTGTGAGCAGAATAAAATGTCATTTGAGCTTTATAAAGCAGCACCGATGCCAGGGTTCTGCGCCCAGATGGGAAAGGCATCCATTTCCCCTGGATTTCTTTACAGCATTTAACCTGATCTGAATCAAGTGATGCAAAGCATAAGCTGAGCTGGGATGTTCCTAAACAGAAACGTCAACGATGTCCTCACCCGACAGCTGCAGTGAGGCTCCTTGAAGAGCAGAGGCAATCAGCCATTCGCAGCATTTGAGACTGAAAGGCTGAGCCCCTGGGAGGGAGGAGAGACCAGCATTTCAAATGCATCATGCAAATGCCTTTCTTTCATGGCCAGGAGCTACATGTCCACACCTGAGATGAAGGCAGGAGCAATTGTCAGAGCAGTGCAGGAGTGGTGAGCAGCCGCAGCTGATAGCACCCAGCTGGGCACACGGAACAGCCCCAGGCTGCAGCCGCAGCCCCTGCTAAGCCACAACCTCCCTCTGCCATCCGGAGCACCCAGCAGCTTTCACGCAGCCCAAACACCAGCTGGTCAGCTCTGGGAGCCGCGAACAGTGCTCTGAAGCCTTGAGTTCTCAACCCAGGGTAGTACAGAGGTCAGAAAAGTTGCTCAAAGGGGCTAAAACTCCTTGTCAGACTGTGCCACAGAAGATAAAATAGCAAAACCAAGCTAGACATGACTGGTATGTCCGAGTCCACAGGCAAGAGTTCATTTTAGAAATTGCTTATGGTGTTATTTTTTGCTGGGAAGCTACTGAGGTATCACGCAGAGGAAACTACACTTACAATTCATTTTCAGCCACGTTTATAAACCAAAGGGAAGGAAGAAGCTTCTGTCCAAGGTGATTTTTACAAACTTTCTTTTCCATCTTTTTTTTTCCCCATCAGTTCTTTCTGCTTTGGTTGTAGGGACACAGTCACTATAGCTCTTTTAATTAAACAGACAAACTTTTCTCCACCTGTATTCCAAAGCACTACCGTCCAAAACCAGTTACTGCGGTATTTATTCAAATGCCCTTGCTCCACAACAGCCTGGTTTCTGTTACGGAGCGACCCTTGGCCATCCTGTACTTTCCTCGAGCTCTCTGGAACTCACCACAGTGGCTGCAAGGCCTGAGAGAAGCAAGCAGTGAGACTGGAGGCAGGACCCAGCAGCCTTCAGAAGACAAGAGCAGGCACTAAAGGCCAGGGGTGCTGGACCGGGGCGGGCTGGGCAGGGCAGAGGAAGCTGAAGCACAGGCAGGAGGCTTCATTGCAGCTTTATAAAGCTCAGATGATGTCTTATTCTTCTCACACTGGACAGATGCTTTCCTAGCTTTCCCAGGGAAGCAGATGTAATGGAGGAATGAGCTTTCTCTTGCGGGGATGATGGCTGTCCAAGAACAAGGGAAACCCTGCTTTCTCTTTCTCTGCCCTCTTATTCTGCGTGTTTTGGGTATGAAAAAGACAGAAACCGATTTAATGCCTGAAGCCCACCTGTGTTCAGCATCCCAGGGAGCTGCTGTGCTGTGGGCAGTGACATCTAATGGCCAGGCCTGGAGCGGCTGGAAGCAGAACTCCGCTCCTGGGGCTGCCGGAGCTTTCCAGAACGCCTGCCTGGCTGCCGGCCCCATCCCAACGGCTCACTTTTCCCCGATGCCCTGCGAACAGCTGCTGGACAGGGCTGCATCCTCACCCTACTGGGCTCCCCAGGGCCCCGCAGCGCAGGCCGGGTGCTCCCAGCCCACGGACACGGCTGCCGCAGCCGCTCAGCCCAGGGGTACAGAGGAGGTGAGGGGCTCACAGCTGTGCAGGAGGAGTTGACCCCGGCTGCATTTGAGAGGCCCTTGGGAAAGGCAGCAACTGTGAGCAAGCCGCGGGGATCGCACTGCCTGCGGCTGCTCCAGCTGCCTCTTTCCCTTGGCTGTGCCAGGCCCAGCAGGGACCTCCCCACAGCAGCGGTGCTGAGCAGGCTCCACAGCCACAGCAAGCGCAGTGTGCCCGCACGCGTGGCACAGCTGGAGGCTGCTGAGGCCACAGCACAAGGCCTCTCACCCTCAGCTGGGGATGTTGGGCATTCGTTCCAAGTCCTTCAGCCCCTTCGAGGAAGGGGTCAGTTGTTACTATGCACAGAGCACGTTATATAGACCCTTTGCAAAGAACGGTTCTATGTATGACCCCATGAGGAAAGAAAAAACACTTTCAGCTACTATTTCATCATGCTGCCCAGGTGGTAAGAACACAGAGCTACCAAGAAAAGCATTGTACACTCACCCTTAATTAGGAAACACAAAACGAAACCACACACAAATGCCTGGCAGTATCACAGCCAGAGACTGGTGTGGTCTTCCTCAGTCAAGATGAAGCACAGACCCCAGGCTACCCAGCACCTGCAGCTTCCCTCGTGCATTAAGTTACAGGGAAGGGAGTAGAACATCCTTGCTTGCAGCTTCCTGAAAACCCAGGTAACCTTACACAGAGGAAGTTATATTTCCACCCACTCCCAGATTATTTAATCTGAAATTTCTGTAGAATACTGCCGGGGAAGGAGAAGTAATTTCCAGCAATTCCATCCCAGGAAATCACTTCATGAAAGCTTTTACAGTCATCCATCTCTGGACTCCTAAAGGGAGAAAACTAAGCAGTGTTTAATGTTTCAGACCTTGCTTCTAGCAATGAGAACTGGAAGCAGGTGTGATCCCACTGAAGTTTCTCCTATAGGCAATACATACCCTTTAAGAACTGTGCTTGAAAGGGGCTGACACTACAATAAAAGGTACCAGCAAACACTGACAACTCCACAATTGCACTGCAAAAATCCTATATGTCTAGTTGCCACCATGGCGTCTCTATATTTTAAAACCCTTCTCAGCCATTCTCCAAAACTGAGAACTATTATTTGTACAGCATGCTGTATATTACATATTATACTGCATATTATACTTCGTATTTGCCAAAGCAGATTTTGCTTCTGCGCCTCAGAGTCCTGATTTTCTGAGCAGGACCAACCCTGTCAGCTAGGTCAGTGTGCTTCACGCTGAGATGCCCTGCAGGGCACTGGAATTGTCCAGCCAAACAGAAAGAGGGGAAGAAGAGGAAGAGGAGTGAAGAAGAAATACATGCACGATTACCACGGCTTTTAGGAACAAAATTTATTCCAATTTCAAACAGAGAATTTATTTCAGGAGAAAGATATGAAAATCAATTTCCATCAGATATTTCTGTAGTAAGGGTTGGTGCCCAGCAGTCAGAGTTGGATCATTCCAAGAAACAATCACACTCCTAGACTGGAATGAGACAGTTTGGAGCCTGAATAGAACCTGACACTGGGCATCGTATTCAGAAACTCCTTTACCCTACCCTCTTCCCTTCCCCCACCCCAACACGCACAACAATACATGCATTGCAAATGACAAGGTTTAAAAACAGCATTTTATATAGTATCTTTTTAAATAGGATAATGTTTAAATTGTCTTAAATCAGGATCCTATAATATACAAGTATAACCAAATAATTTCCACCACATTGGCACTTGTAAAGAGTCTCTGGCACTACTAAAGAAGGGGCATTGGCACAAACCATACTTTTTTTTTTTAAAAAAAAAAAAAAAAAAAAAGGGTGCTGCATAACACACTTTATCTCTGCTGGACTTTAACAACCCGGGCTCTGTACAGTACAATACAATGGTCAGCACACTCTGGAAGGTTTTTGTTTTTTGTTTTTTCCTTCTGTGTGTGAGAGTGTGTTCTGTTTTTTAAAAAACCAATAAAACACATGAAGAAAAACCATAGTTGAACGCAAGGCCAACATTGCTAGGAAGCAACAACAACAGACCAAAGAATCCAGCTCCAGGAAAAGGGGAGACGGGCAGGAGGGGCTGGAGCGATCTGACACGCCAAAGCAGGAAGGAACTGCTGGCTCACCAGGTGGCCAATCCACACAGAACGGTGCAAAGAAATGGGATGGTCCTCTCCTCACTGACTTCAAGTTTCAAACTGGTTCAAAGTACATTGGTTTCTTCAGCAGAACAAAAATAAAAAGTGCACAAGGAGCAGAGGTTAGCCAAGAGACCACTTCCTCAGACTCAGACTTCAGATTCCCTAAAAGAACCCAATGCCACCTCTTGTCTGAGCTCAATCCGTTACCTTGACCCATGGAAAGTTCTGACTGGCCTCACTTTCCGAAAAGATGATATAGGCAAATTGGTTTAAGGTTTGGCACTTTCTCTAGGGCAGGCGTTTGCCAAAGGGCCAGCCAACAGAGATGTGAACCAGTTCTGCAGGAACACTTCACTGGCCAAGCTGGAGGCACACGAGCTACTACTTGCTAGAAGCATGTGCCAGCACTGGCGTCTCCTCACACACAGCACAGACTGCAGACAACTCCAAATTACGTGTGTAAGTCTGACCCATTCCTCCCCTAACTGAAAGCAAGGTTTCGGGAACACAGGAGTCAGCCATCGCATAACATTTGTCCTTCCCCTTTGCAGTGATAATCATCACACCGGGCCAGTTACTGGGCCAACAGCTACACCAAGCACCTGGTCAGCAAGGTACAGCACACGCCTAAATCTTGTGCTGCCAGCCTCCCACAGTTCTCTACCACATTGCAGATCCACTCTGCAAGAGACAGAGAAGCAAAGATCCCTCCCCCTCTGCCAGGGCAACAGCTCTTGGAGGAGGAGAGCACTCAAAACCAAAAAGTTACTGATTCAAGTGGGAAGTACCACCATCATTCATCTTGGAAAATACTTCTGGCAAGTTATTTCCAAGAGCCTCTATTTCTCTGTGCCAGGCCCATTGCTGGCAATAGTTGTAGTGTGAACCATTTACATGAGGATCAAGGAAGCAGAAGAGGCTGGTGCTGCCATCTGCTTCAGATGAACAGCATTTAGAATACACGTAGATGACTATAAACTCCTCTTTATAGGACAGTCTCTACAAAATGGACCATTTTGGCATAAAGACAAAAAAAAATGCAATAAAATTGATGCAAAACTGTCTGACACATGGGAATCCCTCTCGTTTCTCCCAAATGTTAAATGGAGTCCAGAGCATGGCTAAAGAGGTGCTGTATTCCCCTCAGCATCACCACTCTGTCAGACTGGCTCTTCAACTGTTGGTCCCATGGCTGCTGTTCCAGCTTAAGCTCTCTGATCGCACTTGGCAGAGCTTGCTTTCTTCTGTAGTGCTCTGAGACATGCAGAGGCTTCCCTCAGCTATTCTGGACAAGAAGGGCCTAAAACCAGAATTACTCAAAATAACATCCCTCCAGATTTTAGTGTTCTAGATCAAAGCATCTTAAGGATCTTGGACAGTAAAGATCTACTCTTACATGATGTGTAAAACACTGATGTAGTGCTCTGTCTACAAAAGAGACAAAATATCAACAGCCCCCTTCAACAGTGCAGTCCATTTAATCTTTATCTACCGGCAGCCTACTAACCTTCAAGGGGGCAAACTGGTTGATCCAGAGAATTTGGACCCAACGCTACTTTCTGGAATTGAAATAGAAGCATTAGTGATAGCTAAAACACACAGGTCCAGAGGTGGGTCAGGTCTGTTTCCTACTCACTCCTTGTCTCGCCTCTGCAGTTGTCATCCAGGCTAGCGTTATTCATCACGTTTCTCCACTTGCCTTGGTGCCTGGAAAAAGCTGTCTAATGTGCAAAGGCTCCACTTCCTTCTGCTTAGTGGATGGAGTTTTATTTGGCATCTAGAATCCAGAATTACTTCCACCCCTACCTTCCACTCACACCGGCAAACCCTGCTGCCTCTGCCTCTACTCTCCAGCTAAACGAAAGTGCAACCACAGTAGGGCTTTCTGGATTCCATAGCAGCCACATGCTCCAGCCACGACTACTATAACTCGATTATCACATGCACCCTGGAGCAAATATGTGTGCAAGTCCTCCAGAGAGGATCCATACTTCTCTGAAGAGAAACACAGCAGCATGTGCCTCGGGGGAATGCATAAACAGGAAAGAGAAAGTTGCCACTCCCTCCAAGAGCTATCCACAACCTTTTTAAGTAAGAACTCTACCTACGTCCTGAAGTCTGTGACCCACCAGCTCTGGTCCTCCCTAAAAATCTGCAAGCTGGACAGGACTGAGGAGTTCTTACAAATCCATTCAACACACCGGCACGAAATGCAATAAACAAGGCTTGTTTGCTACTAGCAGCAAGAAAAAAACTAGAGGGTGGCACAAGACTAAGATTTTCAATCCAGCCAAAATCTGATGTTTAATTGCCACTATTACTTAGTGTGCTTTTGACATTTGCTGCATAGAGAAGTTGCTCACTTGATGTCACGTACTCTGCTCAACAGAATGGAGAGTTACTCCCCGCAAACTGAGCCTCATGTGTGCGCACATGCGCTTGTGGTGTGGGGGGATGTGTGTATGTGCGTGAAAAAAATTAAAATAAAATAAAAGAACAATTACAGTCAGGCACTTCCCCAGGCTCAGCAGCTATTGCTCCAAGAGCATCCATCATTTGTAGTCCATGAGCAAAATACAGCAACATGTAGCAAACTACATATAGAACATCAATAATTTAAAAAAAAAAAAATCACAGTCTCCATACCTTTGATAATTGAAGAAAAAATAGCTCAGAACTAGAACATATAAAGAATGGAAAAGTGATGGCTTTTTTTTTGTTTGTTTGTTTTGCCTTTTTTTTTTTTTTGCACAACAGTTGGAGAACAATTGTTCTTCCCCAACATTTCATCACAGTGAACCATGGAGCGTGTCCTGGGGAAGGGAAGGGAAAGGGTGGGAGGGAAGCAAGCAGGATTAGCAAATTACACCAGAGGCACCCTATAGCACGAGGCACAGGGACCAGTAGCAATCCACACTCCCACAGTCCAGTGAATTCACAATCTTGGCTGGAAAGTTATTTTTTCTACATACACCATGGGAATGAAAAGGAAAAAAAGTGGCTAAGCAACAAAGGAAAGCTTGAGATGAGACTGCCTTAGCTGTTTGGCAAAAATTAAGAAGTGAGCAAGGTGCTGAAGAAATGAGGCATATCCCCGTTAACTGTGAAATAAAAGCAATTTGTTAAAAGTATGAAATCAGCTACTCTGTGGACAGAGACATGAGACTCCAGGATAACACTGAGCACTTGCCACTCCACAGATCAGACAATTTGCAATCATTACATCATCAAAAATTAAAACTTTTTTCCTGTCATGTTTAAAATTTCTTTTTTTTTTTTTTTCCCCTGTCTTTTCTTCACAATGAATCCTCTCTAGGGCCAAGAACAGAGCAGGTCAAACCAGGTTGTATTCCTTCAGGTTGAGCTGTAGGATGGTGTCCTTGACAGCTGCAAAGACGAAACGGATGTTTTCTGTGTCTGTGGCACATGTGAAGTGAGAATAGATGATTTTATCGCTGTCTGGATTTAAATCCACAAACATCTTGAGAATGAACTCACGGGCTGCCTGTGCATCCCTCTGCGGGCCTGCAGCAAACAAAGAACAGTTAACAGAGTTGTGCTAAGCACATCCCCTGGTGTGAGCCACCAGATTACTACTGGTACACTTTTTCTTATGGGTTCCATGGCTATAAAGAAGAAATTATGATCACTTATTGCATAAGAGTCCTAGAACCTGAAATATTTTATGCTCTTCACTTACCTAGACCAAAATCTTTTTCTGACATTGAGAGTTCTGACAGACACCAATGCATTACTTCAGACTGCACTTAGAAACACAGAATTTGGTATAACCCTGTTCGTGCTGCTTCCGTTAGATAACAGATACTTGATACATGTAACACAATTACCTCCTCTGGTGTTAGGATCTATATTTCTCCTTAATATATAAATGGGTCTTATGCTCTGAAGGACACAACTATGCTAGGCGAACAAAGGTCATCTTCAGCCAACTCTGTAGTCTGGCTGGTCAACTGAAAGGAGGTATGAAGTGGAAATTCTTGTCGCTATTTACTTCATATTGCTGACAGTTCCTCAGAAAAGTCACCTTTTCTGAGTCACCACACTGATATTCCTTTCAGCGTTCTCACATTCTTCATGGCAAGGCCCATTTCGTGAGAGGTGATCTGATGGGCTACCTCCCACTCGTGAGCCATGCAGCATTCCTGGAACAGCTACAGCAATTACCAAGATGAAAAAGGTGAAAGTATATGGCACTTCCTAAAGTTGCTATCTTGTCTCCAGCTGTTGAATTATATTAGAAATAAGCGCTATTCGACCAATAGCCATAGGCAGACTGTGCAAAAAAGGCATGTTTTCCACCACTGCTGATTTCTGAGTGCCTGTGCTCTCAGACAGCAGGGGGCATGAGACTACAGAAGTGGGAGAACAACTGGTAAGAAGCAATTGCATTTGTCATTTAAAGGAAGCAAGCTGTTTGCAAAACAGCAATTCTGCCTTCACCATTTTAAGTATGTAACAACAGAGTTAATACATGACAGCACGGAAAGAAGTGTGTTGCCTGACCTCATGCTCCGCTACGTTCATTTATTTTCAACCCTGCACAGATGTACTACCAGAAGTGTAGAGCTGGAAACGTCATTTTGGCTAAGGAATTTTGTTTCAGATGGGAATTTCTGTTTCACATAGATATTGGTTTTCTACAGCTGCATACAGCTCCCTATTAGGAACTGAATGCTACCTGAGGTTTTTCAGCACCAACATGTGAACAGCTATTTGACCAGTCAGGTTCTCAAAATGAGGACTCAAATTGTCTCTTGACTATAGGGTTAAGATGCCCAGTATGCCAGTGAATTAGCACGTTTATAAAATAGGTTACATGCACAAGCATCCAGGTAGTCAAGTTCCATTATTTAAAGCACATATTAATGGAAAATAATTTTCAATTAATCATCTAGGAGAGGTTCATTAGATCAGATCTCTGTTATCTACGTATGATCAGGACATTTTTGTGACATCTGCTCATTGTAGGTATTCCTTTTGAAATTAGGAGTTTTTACCCCCATCTCTAGATCTGAGTTTCTTTAAAAAAAAAAAAATCCAACCAAACCACCCCCACTTCTCCTTCTAAATTTAGTGTTCCTCCTTAAAAGCCACTCACTCACCATCAAACTCTGGGAAATAGTCAACAAGATGGGAGTACAGGATCTTGTCTTCCAACAGATCCTTCTTGTTCAGGAAGAGGATAACAGATGAGTTTTGGAACCAGGGATAAGTGATAATGGTTCGAAAGAGAGCTTTACTCTCTTCCATCCGGTTCTGAAATAAGAAAGAGCAAGCAGTTTTCACAGATGAGGATCAAGATGCCTTTCTGCTATTTGCACGCGTAGACAGATCTGCATTGATCTAGCATCTCAGATACTGTACGCAGAATACTTTGGTCCCAAGTAAATTCTGGATCAAACTGATCAGGTAAACAGAGAGCAAATGCAATGTCTAATGGATTCAAGTTTCATTTCATTGGCAAGCCGTTAATATTAATGGACTTTTACAAATCATTTTACACTTTGTGCAGTTGCATGAGAAGACTGGCCATGGTAGTTTGTGAGATACTACCTGTTTTATCTAGTAGAAAAGAATAACTATATTCACCTTATGCAATTTTTGTTAATCCCTTAGCAGGCATAAAACTCAGTATTGCATCTTCCAAGAGACCAGTCACTATCTAATAAGACAGCAGACACAGCACAAAGTAATTCAGGTGAGGAAAAGAGGAACACGGGAACAGGTAATTTCATGATCACCCCTTCACATAGCACAGTACCTTCCAAGACACACAGGACTCCGCAATCGCAGAGTATTTCTGTATCATTTGAGAAGTACAGATAATTTGAAGGTACCATGAAGGTACCTTCAAATTTGAAGGTACATGAAGGTACATTTGAAGGTACATGAAGGTACCATGCTCCGCCCTCAGGGACATCATCATCCATTGAGGCTCATGTTCTCTTCATAGGAAGAACTGAAGGCCAAAACCAACAATTCTTGCTAATCCAGCACTTTGGTACTGACCTCCAAGAAGGCAGAAAGACCCCCTTTCCCGCCACCCTCCTGTAGGGCTCCCACTCTTTGGCTTACCTCATTATCAGACTCCACCAGAACTTGGTCATATTCACTAAGTGCTACTAAAAACATGATGGAAGTCACATTTTCAAAGCAATGGATCCACTTCCTTCGTTCTGATCTTTGACCTCCAACATCCACCATTCTAAGGAAGAGAAATACATACAGTGTCACAGAAGTAGCTGCAATTCTCCATCTGAATGCAGAGGACCAGCACACAATGAGAACCAACGCCACTCTTCACCATTCAAGATAACCTGGCACGGGGATGTAATAACACGCGCTTGCTAACAAAGCCATGAAGTTTACAAAGTATCCTGTTCCAGAAACATGTCCATCTCTTGAATTTGATAGAACAATGTAGTATCATATTCAAATTCCAAGTATCAGCATTACCATTTTAGTTGCACTCTACTCTGGTTTGTTAAATAGCAGTCTTGGATCTGAAAAGACAAATCTTTCAAAACTCTGGTCTGTCACATTAGCAAATTTGTTTTTTCTATTAAAGCACCTGCTTGTCTCAGAATTTCTCACAGAGCATACTTTAGTAACACAACTTTTCTTAGAACATGCTGTGTAACACTTACACACCTCAGCTTCTCAGTTCTAAGTACCACCTGGACAGTACGCTAAGGTTATTTTGAAACCTTTTACCTATTTCATAGGTCAGCAAACCAAAACAGGAAAAGTAACTTTTTTGTAAACCTGTAATTGAAAGGATTAAGGGACAGGATGAAGGCTTCTTTATTCCTCCCTTGTATTATCACTACTGTGGTAGACAAAGGAAGGGAGTAGTAGAGAAGCAGAAAAAAATTGCTTTGCAATTGAAAAGCATGTCGTTGTGCCCTTGTATGCCATGCTCACTTCCCAGCTTAAGCCTCCAAACAACCATGTATTGCTGCAGCAGCAGAGGCAGCAAGTTTTGGAGCCCTAGTCCGAGGGCACAGAAAACCATCTCTGAGGGCTGATCACATATAGGCATCACGTATAGTTTGCACAAGCAGCCTCTACTTGAAGGAGAAATTAACAGTAGAAGTTGCTTGAGCAAAGCATTTTGAGTCAAGCACCACCAAGAACAAGCTCACCACCACCACCCTGGCCACTCGCTGGCTTAAGCTACTGACAGTTCTCTCAGCTGCATTACAAGACACCACTTCAGCCCCAGGTGCCAGCAAGGTAATCCTTCCCAGGAAGGACAGCGATTCCTGATAAATGGTTAGATGTGCTCTAAAAATTCACCTTCTGTAAGGAAAAGCTCCAAGCCGAAACATCAACTTAAGCTACAACAAATGCTAACACCGTTCCCCTCAGCAGGTACTTCACAACACCACAGCACATACGTTCACTCAAGCCTCTCAACTCTGCATCGGGACACTCCAAATCAATCCAGAACTCATCTCTCCTGAACCTGTGTCATTCCTCTCAGTTCAGTGTGACACGAATACACCTTCCGTACCTGAAGATAATATTCTCTAGGTCAAAGGGGTATTCTATGATACCGGTTGTAGGAACTCTAACGCGTAGCACATCTTGCTGAGTTGGTAGATACCCTGGAGTAGCAATACGATCCACGTCGCTAAGATAGCTAAAAGAAGCACAATTGAAAAAGAAAAAAAAGAAAAACTACCTTAGGTTGCAGCACAAATACACAAATTTAAACACTGTTACATTAAGTCTTTGCCTAGCAAGAAAGTCACTTGAGCCATTTCCAAAATGCAATGTGAAAAATAACAAAATATATCTTTGGGGAACAGTAATTCACCTGCCATCCCTTTTGGAGGATAAACAGGTACATTAAGAACAACTTTATCAACTCTGTGTAGGTGTGTGGAAAACAGTCTTTACTACAGAAAAGGTTTAAGTACAGTGGATGCTTATGTTTCAGAATCGAGTTTCACCTAAGGCTCTGTTATTGAAGAATTTATGTATACAATCTATGTAGCCAGCAGAGACCATGCAACTTGTTTAAAACACATAGCAAGACTCATATGCCTCAGTGAGAAAGTACTATGTATTTTAAAGTAACTATGTCATGGAATCCACTGCAGCGTTCTCATCCTCTGAAACAAACTCTAGACTTCAAAATAAAAAAACGGATAGTTTTTATTTGTGATAGCATCGCTAGCATCTACCAGTACTCACCAGTGGTTAAGTACTTACTATTTAGCTGAGTCAGAAAGCTGATATTCTCTTCTCCTGTCATAACACTCTTGTATTCCAGGGTCATTCCACAATGTTTTAATTGCACTTACGTAGGGCTGCTCAAATGTCATGACCTTTTCTACATCCACTTCCCTGATCAGGACTGCATTGGCCTGAAGATTGAAAAGCAAAAACCAAAGCAAAAGAACTCTCAGATGAACTAAGTCCCTGTATTATGACTTCAAGGATCCACGCGCTGGCTGCAAAGACCAGAGGAACAATGGTAAACTATACACCTGAGACATCAGAGCTCCAGTTTCCCTAGATTGGTATTACATGGAGAATTTAGACTTCAATACGGTTGGGGTGGGGGTTATTTGTTTTTATAGCAGATGTCAGCAAAGTTCCACCAAAGAATCACAGAATAAAATGCAAAATGGCAGCAGGCTTCACCTATCAAGATGCTACACACCGTTAGATCTCTGTGTTTTGAAACAGCTTCCAAGGCAGAACATCCACTGGAAAGAACCCGACTGCCCAGCTTCGGAGGAGGCTAAACTACATTTGGACAACAGGCTGTTACGCTGGGTTTCTTTCTTTCTTTTTTTTTGTTGTTTTGTTTTGTTTTAGCATACTTCAGCCACAGTCCCTTTTGAGAGAGAAAATAAAAACAGCCACTCTACAATCTATAAGCAAAGGAAGGACTACAACCATCACAGCTGCCCTGGCATCCATGAAGTTACTATCCGTGCAAGTTTGCTTTCTGAAATTTTTGGTGCACTTGCAAGAGGAAAGAGCTTCTGCCTATACTAGAAAAAATAAAAAATAAAGCCAAGTTCTGCACTTTTCGTAAGTGAAAGGTGACAGACTATAGCTATCAAAGTGCCTCTGCCATGCCTCAGGGAAAGCACAAGTAAGGCAAGCTTCCTTGCACCCTGCCTGCTCTCAGCACTGATGCTGCAGAGCCTCCCTGAAGGCAGAAAAGGTTTTCAGACTTGGGGACTCCCAGTGTGACACCCAGTCCCTATGAACAGTTAGTAAAAATCAGCTCCACGCTACTGTGTGACAGAACAGATTAAACATGATTCCACTTAAAAATATTAGGACATGAAGCATTAAAGAAACAAAACTCCAAAAACCTAGCCTCTTTGTGCACCCTCAACACCCCCCTGCAAATAACTAAAATTAAGACCAGATTTTGCTGAAAAAAATTATCCCTGAACCCAAGGTAGGTAAGTCAAACCATAGAAACCTGACTCAAGCTGAAGCTGAGACCAAAACTCAAGAAAGTTAGTACCTTTGGTCAATGCTTATCAGAAGACCTGATAGCTTGCAGTAACAGCGATAACTTGAAACGAAGGTGTCCAGCATGTACGGTTAGCTTCCAGTTCAGAAGCAACTAGCAATTCATAGTGAAAACCCAGCACACCTACAAATGCTGAACCCTTGAAATAAGTAAACAGAGCCCATCTTCCTACCTCGTGTTCCAGTTCCTTGCTCCCACCACCCACTACGTGCAAACCATCCTGAGAACAACTTAATTTGGACAAACAATGATTCTTTCCCCCAGGCAGAAAGTTGCTTTATCCCTCAACACAACCTAGTAAATGGAGTCAGATATCAGCAACATATCATGAAGAGCTGTCCTTCTGCACACACGCCAAAAAAAAAGGGTAGAAGAATTCAGGGAGGTTGAGACTGCAGTGCAGAAGGGCACAAACAAGCAGGAACTTACCCGTCAGAACCCAGAACTCCCACTATCTAAAAACACGTGCAAAAATTGTGAGAAACTCACCTTGTTCTGTTCATATTTGTACAGAATCTTCAGGGTTTCCATGGCCCTGATCATGGACTGCATGGCAGTGAAGATGTTTTGATATACCAGCTTGGTAAAACCCTTTTTGTCCTCTTCAGAGTAGCCTGAGCCATGAATTATACGCATTTGCTTAATGAACGTGCTTTTTCCACTCTCTCCAGTGCCTACAGAACGCAAGAGAGAGAATTAATAACCGTTTCAAGCAAGGTTTGCTACAGAAGACAGCAAGCTTACATCCCAGCACACCCCAAGGTCCCTACTGCTGTACCCAAGAACCTGCTGCCCATCCAGGTGCTTTTCTAGGGACTTTTGGAGCAGCAAAAGACATCCTGGATGGCCCTGCTCGTCCCCACTGCAAACCCAGGAGCACGGCAGGCAGACGGCTCGTCCTTTACAGCAGCCTCCAAAAGCACCTTGGGTACTTATTCCAAATCTCACGTTACAGCCACTCCCCTGGGGCCTGCGTCAGGAGGCCCGTGCCCGTCACACCTGAGCTGTTCCCAGATCCCAGCGAGATGCTGCAGCCCCAGATGTGCTCCCGAGCTGGGAAATGCCGGGCTGGCAGCAACCGGCCCGGGGGAAGCTTCTTTGCATGGCGGGGAGCGCGCTGCCTTCCCCTGCTGTTTGGCACCTGCTGCTCTTGGCCATAGGGATTACACCTCTACGCAGAAAGGGGTCGAACACAACAGGAAAGTCAGCTCCAAGGGAGAAGAGACCCCACCATGGGACTCGCTCGCCCAACTGTCGTGAACAACCCAGTTGATGCATCTGCCAAGTCACTCACGCTACCATGCAATGAAACACGGTGCCTGCTCTTCAGGGCTGAAACGATGACCCTCGCCACGGCAAGACAGAAAGCTGGGGGCAATGCTCTGCCACAGAAACCTCCGAGGCCGCTCACAGCCTTTGAACATTGCCGGGTTCAGAGCAGCGACTGAGAGCACAAGGAGGGATGCTGCTCGCAGCTGCCCAGCCCTGGGCCACCGGCAGACTGCCTGGCGCAACCTCAGGCTTCTCGCCCTGGAGGAGCTGGGGCCAGAAGAGCAGGCGGAGGGCAGGGCGGGCGTCGGTGCCAGCCCCTGCTACGCCTGCCTCCCGCAGCCCACCGGGCAGCCCCCGCTCCTGCTGGCACGGCCCCAGAGAAGCCTCATTTAACTGCTGAAGGCCGACAGCTCGTGGGAACAGCAGGAACTTCATGATGTGGTATGTAGAAGGGGAAACGCCATGGGAGGAAGGGCTCGTGCCCTCACACAGGCTCGCTACGCCCCCCTCAGCGGGCGTCAGGGCAATGCCTGCAGGACACGCAGCTCCCGGCACTGCTGCCCAGGGGCGTGCGGCCTCGGCCCAGGTGCCACTGGAGTCCTGCGCAACTCATCCACCTCCGCTGGTGCGCCTGCTGGGAGCTCTGCTCGAGCCTGCACAGTTTGCCATCGCCGTGCAGCGCCTGCAACTCGAGAGGCAGCTGAGCGGGTCACTGGGAAGGAGAACTAGCGCCTGCCCCCCAGTAAGGGACAAACCCTTTCTGTCTCCAGGCCCAAAGCCCCGGCAGAGCCCAGTGCTTCCCCAGGGAGCCGCCAGGCACTCGCCTCGCACCAGGGCCTCGCGCAGCACCGCGCAGTCGCTACTCACGAGTGCGTCCTCAGTTACTCACATCTATAGTGCCAGGCTAAAAGGCAAACAAATAAATATGCTCAAATAAAGGCAGCCAGCACACAAATAGAAGCAGCATGTTTAAAATCAACTCTCCCCATCTCCAAGAACTGACAGATTTTTTGTCAGCCTCGTTAATAAGTAATAATAAATAACGCTAATTTCTAACACCGTTAGCACGCAGCAAAGCGTCCCCATCTCAGACAGAAAGCTGCACCACAAAGGGGGGGAAAACTGGAAACTGAAATCTTCTGTGGTTAAGCACACTGTGGTGAGAAATACTTCCTTGTCTTTTACCACAGCGACCAAAGCAGAGAAAAGAAAAAAGTGGTGCCTCAAAGCTCTCTGATAATGAAAACATAAAACAAACCTCGGTCCTAGGCATTTACCGGGCTTCAGAGCTTGAAAGCCCAAATGCAGACTCAGCCTGTCGCTCCATCACCATCCGCACTAACACTATTACTATTTTATTCTATTTTTCTTTTTAAAGGCGAGTCCTGCTTTTGTCTAGACCATAAACAATACCGAGCAGCACTACACCAAACCTTGTAAGCTCCAATGAGCGTGGCCTCCTGCATTTATCAGTACAATAACCTCATTTTTTGGTGTGACAATGGGGAGACAAGGAGATCGTTTGAACTCGTCATTTCTTGTGTCAACGCGCAAAAGCAACAGTTTCCCATAAATTACTAATGCCCCCCAATACCTGTCAGACACCTGTAAATACATTTATTCAGCCAACGGTATCCCAGGCTTAATTGCAAGAAAATCCAGGGTAATTTTATAGAAAGCATCCTTCCCCCTTGTCAACGCAGTAAAAAGACCGATGACTGCCCTACACCAGAGGCCAAGGTACAATACCTCAAATTCAAATTTCTTATTGCCGGGTTCATCACTGAACAGCAGCATTATTCTTCACTGCAAGTTTCTGTTTTAGGCTTTGGACTGTAACTAGGTGTAGAAGGAAAAATTAACAAGGCTTCTACAACGCAGGAACTCCCCCCATGCACACATCTCTTTTCACAGTTCGGAGTATTTGGAAAAGCCCCTCTCACAGGTACAATTGCTAACGGTTGTGAACAGAAGAACTCCACGTAATAACAAGATGGAAGAAATCCACAAACCCCTGCACATGGCGGTTACATCGAGAGACAGAACACCCATCACTGGCCACGACTTCAGGTGGGCAACGTGCAGTGCTGCGCCCAGTGCCGGGCAGCCAGCAAGCACAAAGGAAGGCTCGTCTTTCCAATCACCTCCCACAACCAGGAGCATCGCTATCTCACGTAGGTTTTATTTTATCTTATTTTTGTTTGTTTGTAAATCTAATACTGAATTTTATTTAACTGTATCTTCCATGAAAAAAAAAAAAAAAAGTTTTCTTGAGCAACTTTAATTTCTTTTCTGAAGTGAGATCTTTTGCTCCAGTGGGATCTTCTTAACCCAGATGAAGCCTATGGCTCCAACCTATTTTGAAACAACTGCTTCTTTGGGATTGCTCTAAGGAAACACGAAAGCATGAGACCCATTGCCCAGCTTGCAAGAACCTTGCAGAAATGGACGTAGCATCTTCAAAGCTCACAAACTTCAAGCCACTGCTTTTTACCTTTCAGCTAAAGAACAGCAACGCGTTAACTGCCAGGGTTATCTTCACACCTCGTGAGGCTCCAGTTCATGGTACGAAGGAAAGGCCTGGCTTTCACGTAACCATCACCACCGTGCAACACGGCAGGCTTAGAGATATCCAAAGGACTGGGCAGGCAAGGCCTCACCTCACTTACGTGGAATTTTACACCTGCTTTTCCATAAGAATCAACCCAATTCCTCACCTGTGCCAGAGGGGCTCGCCCACCGACTGCAGACCCGAAGCCAACAACCTCCGCCCGCCAGAGCCACCTCGCATCTCGGGGCGGCGTTCGGCCAAGAGGCAGCATTCAAACACCGGCGGCGCTGAGCCACGGTACCCCCGGAAAGCTCTCGCTCCGGTTCGACTCAGGGGCCGCAGGGACGCGAACACCGCGCTCGCTCCCGAAGAAAGCCCCCCGAGAGCCCCGCGGGCCGCCCCCGCACACCCTCCCGGCCCCCGGCAGCCGCCCGCCCGCGCTCCCCGCTTCGCCCCTCCCCGGCCCCCGGTGCCCCCCGTTCCTCCGCGGCCCGGCCGCCGCCGCTCGAGGCCGCGCTCCCTCGCGGGCCGCCCCCACGTGCGCGCACCTCGCACCTGCCCGCGGCGCGGCCTCCCCCCGCCTCGAAGCCGCCGGCGGCAGGGAGCGAGCGGGGAGCGCCGGGCGGCCAAAGGGCGGCCCCGGCCCCGGCCCCGAGCCGCCCCGGGCGCCGGGCGGGGACGGCCGCCGGCTGCCGCCGCTCCCCGCCACGCCCGCGCCGCCGCCCGGAGCTGTCAAGCGGCGGCGCCGCCGCCCGGGCCCCGCGGTGGCGGCCGAGCGCGGAGGCCCCGCGGGCCGGGCCGGGCCCCGCCGCTCCTCACCCAGCAGCAGCAGCTTCAGCTCGCGGCGGGCGTCGCGCTTGTCCCTCCGCAGCTGCTTCTCGATCTCGGCGTTGATGCGCTTCGACTCCTTCACCTCGTCGCTCAGGCAACAGGCCATCATGGACTCCAGAGTCATGGTCCCGCCGCCGCCGGGACGCCCCCGCCCGCCCGGCGCCCGCCGCCGCCGCCGCCTTCCGCGCGGCCGGGACCCCGGTCCGGCCCGGCCCCACCGCCCCCTGCCCGCCCCCCCCTCCCTCCCTCCGCGGCACCCGCCCGGCCCCGGCCCCTGCGGCCGGGCCTCGCAGCAGCAGCGCCGCGGCCGCCGCCCCCCCCCTCGGCGCGCTGCCCTCGCCCGGCCGCGCCGCCCGCCCGCCGCTCCCTCCCCGCGCGGCCCCGCCGAGCCAGCGACGAGCCGGCGCAACCCAACCCGCTGCCGCCGAAAACAAGCGCTGACTGACAGCCGCCCGCGCCAATGGGAGAGGCGGAGCGGGGCGGGGCGGGGCCGGCGCGGCCGGGGGGGCGGGGCTCCGCTGCGACCGGAGCGCAAGCTTGGTTGGCCGCGAGGGGGGGGCGGGCCCCGCGCCGCGCGATCCCAGGGCGGGGCGGGGCCGCGGGGCATTGTGGGCCGGTGGCGGACCGGGCGCGGAGCGGGCGGCCATGGCGGGGCGGGCCCCGGCCCGGGCCCCGCGGCTCGTTCGCGGCCCTCTCGGCGCTGCCGGGCCCCGCGCCCCGCCCGCAGCCAGGCGCGTTCCCCCCGAGCTGCGGCCCGCTCCCCGGCCTCCCGCCGCCGGCGGAGCTCGTCCCGTGGCGCCGCCTTCCTCCCCTCGGCCGGGGGGGGCCCGCTGCGGCCCGGCTGCCAGCGCCCCCCCGCCCTGCCCCTGTGGGCCCGAAGGGGCCCTGCGCCCGCCTCAGGCCTCTGTTCCCGGGAGGAGCGGGGCAGGCCCGGTGAGGCCTCGGCGCGTTCCTCTTCCCGAGGCGGGCAGATGCACGCACAGCTTCCCCGATACGAAGCCTCTCTGAGCACTTCTCTCCCTGCTAGCGTTGGTTTCTCTTGTCCCGCCTGGTGTTGCTGTGTCCCAAGCGCAGCCTCCCCAGCCCCTCAGGTTACGCAGGCTTTCACTCTTTCTGCAGGTGCTCCTGCTGGCGTTTCAGAGCATTTATGGACCCCCAGCTCCAGCACTGCCCGTCCTGTCTGTAGTGCATTCCCTCACGCCCTGGGCTGGAGTCACTCATCTCTCTCAGACAACTCTGCCTGAAGGACTGCATGTAACCAGCTTTTTGCAGGACTAGAAGAGCGTGATACAGCTGTTAGGTATCTGCCTGCCTGGTGTGTGCTGCAGCTTGCTAGTCCCCATCTCGTGGCAGTCTGGCTGAGGCACAAGCACTGTGTATTCATAGTCCTCAGGTTCCGTTTTCCACCTGAATTCCACCTGGTCCTTTGATATCTTGGCCTCACATAAGAGGAGATTCTACTTTTTTTTTTTTTTTTTGCCTTCTCTTCATAGTTTGGCCTTTCACAGAATTGATACTTGCCTCTTGTTCTTAAGATCTCTTACTTTCTATTCCAGATACATCTAGCAGATGAGAGACTGCTCAGTGAATGTTACTCCCTCATTACTGGTCTCTCGTGAATGAGGTGAAGGTATTCTGCTTTGGCAGATGAATGTTATTCTACAGACAGAGATGTTCTAGCCATCCAGAATCCAAGTTACAGTGAGCTCCAGAGGCAGAAAGACTTAATTTTCTATATCCTCTCCAACTTTGCTCTCTGACTTCAGGCAAGTCACTTAACTGCTTTGCATGTCCTCAGGTTGTGAGTGCAAGATGCACAGTGTGTCCCAGGAGGTGCTGAAGTTACCTAGTGAGGATTTCTAGGCTGCTTTGAACTGCGAGGTGCTATGTGCTAGAGGCTATTGTTTTGGTTCCCTTCCCCTGAGCACAGTCAAATCTAAAAGCCAAAAGATACTGAAGAAGTTTTCACAGCCTGCCAAAAGAAAAAGAAAATTTGCATCCATCCTCTGGACCACTTGCTTAGTTCTTGCGGACAGATGTCCGTTGTGATGAATCCTGCTCAAACCGTCAATGTAAGAATGTCAGAAATGCTGGTCCTCACGCAATGACAGTCTGCCCACTTCCTCCTTTTCCACCTTAATGGAAAAGTTTCAGTGCTCAGGAACTCACCTAAAAAGCAGGAGACCTGGATTTTCCCTCAGCTTGGTCACCGCTCTACCGTGCAAGTCCCTAACCCCCAGTCTGCATTTCCCTGCCCCACCTGCATTGCTGTATCTGTGAATGGTCGTTCCTTTCACTACCTTTCTCTCCACTCTCCCTTCCCTGGCAGCCCACCACAGCTGCTCTTGTCAGCAAATGTCAAAGGCTTCCAGGTATCCAGGCCTGGCCTGAAGAAATTCCAGGCCCCTGCTGCCGCGCACCCTCCAGTAGTATTGGCTTCTGACTAGAAACTGCTTGTCTGAGCAGAGGAGCTCCTGCCAATCTGCCTAGTCCCGCCTCTATTTTCTAGCAGGCTAGCAAGGGCGTGGGATCCTCATGCTTTTTGTGGCTTCATAAGTTCTACATGAAAGACTTAATGAGCAGCGTTTCCCAGGAAGATGATCCTGAACATGTCAATCCGCTTCAGAGCAGCTATCTTCATGAGCCGTATTTGCAGCAGTTAACATTAAGCACAGTGACAACCCCCCATTCATTTATAGAGAGGAAAGTCCCAGCCCTTGTAATATCCAATAAAAAGGATATTCTGTCACTTGGCCCGTCAGGATGTGAGCACACCTTGCTGTAAAAAATTGCAGATGTCTCAAAGTCCTATTTTCTTTCTCCTTTCTGGTCCCGTTTTTAGGTGCTTTTTAGTTCCATGTGCTTGGAAGTGAGGGGAAGGGAGCAAGAATATCCCAGCTGCATTTTGCTGCAGCTGCTCAATCAACAACTTAATCGAGGAAAAATTTAATGGCTTAAGGAAGCAGATTGCAACCAGACCATGAGAACTGCTCCTTCCGTAGCACAGGGACCAGGTGCTCTGAGCACAGGATCCCCAGCTCAGCCAGGCACAGACTGATAGGCACATGCCCCTGTCAGTGCATACTTTGCTGAATCAGTGCCCTGATTACATCGTCTGCTTTGCTATTATTTTATAAGTTGAATATTCGTTTCCTTTAGCTGTGGGGGAAAAAAAAAAAAAAAAAAAAAAAAAAGCAACCATCTAGTTGCTAAAAACCCTCTCTCAGATGAGCTTTCAGCTCTCATCAGAGGCAGAGACGCGGTGCGAGGTTACAGGTCTCCCTGGGGCGATGTTTTCTGGCCGGGCAGATGAAGCTGCATCCCGGAGGTGTTCCACACGTGGGGCTCCGCTCCTCGGCCTCTCCCCAGCTGAGCCCGGCGCCCCCTCCCAGGCCGCGGGGCGGTTGCAGCTCTGCGGGGAGCAGCCGGGAGGGCGGGGGCCGGGAGCTGGCGGCGGCTCTGGGCTGGCAGGAACGGCCCGGAGCGCAGCGAGCTCCGAACGGGAAGCACGGAGGGAAGGCGGCCGCGGAGCCGCCCCCGGACTGGCGGCGGGCACCGGCCGGGAACCCGCGACGGAGCGACCGCGACCGGGACCGGGGCCGGGGCCGGGGCCCCCCCCGAGGCCGGCGGCGGGCGGGGCCGGGCCCGCGGCGCCCGGCAGGGGGCAGCAGCGCCGCGCCAGGCCGCGGGCAGCCCGGGTGGGCCGGGGGGCGGCCGGGGCTCGGGGGGCGGGGAGGGGGGGCCCCCGGGCAGGAGGCTCCGTGCGCCCCGCTCCGCCCCGCTCCGCTGCTCGGCCGCTGCCGTTTCCAGGGGAAGGGCTCCCGAGCCTCTCCCCGGGCCGCTCCCCGTCTTCTCTCCTCCTTCCCCAGGTTTCCGGCGCCCCCCCCCCGCAGCAGCCGCGGCTCCGTCGCAGCCCGGGGGGAGCGGCAGCGGCCGGGCGCTGCCCCCCGGTGCTGTAAACGTCGGGCCTGTGGCTGCCAGCCCAAGCTCTGCCCCTCACACGGAGGTTTCTCGACTGCTCCTTGCGCTTCCTCGCCGCTGTCAGCCGCCCGCTTCACGCACCTAAAATCACAGCGGCAGCACCAGCCTCGCGTTAGCCACGATCCCCTCCCGGCAGCTCCTTCCCTGTGCTGCAGCGCCCAGGCCTGACCGCACCACCCGGGCGGTCAGAAGCTTAACAAATGCCTGCGAAGTGCGCGAGGCCTCCTCCACAGCCCGGGCATGCCGAGCGTTATCGCCAAGCAGGTGCCAAATGTTTCGCCTCCCCCCCCCCCAATTATTTTTGCAAGCTCTTGAGCTGCCTGTCACAGGAAGATGTCACAAGGAGACTTGAGTTCTCTGAAAGGGAGGGAAAGGTGCCCAGATCAAACACGCTGACAAATGCAGCCTGTGACAGCAATTGCTGGATTACAGTTTTTAAAACCTTATGTTTCGCATCTGGTTTATCGTGGCTGTTGTAGGTGGGCTCAGAGCATGGTAAATCAGGATAACAAACCTACATTTACCGTGATCCTTTCATCTCCTAGTATTCCAAAGCACATCATTTAATTGCACTCAACCTGCACATAGATTTCATAAATAAAGGAATGATGAATTAGCACAGCTGCTGCAGCATTCACTGGAGTTACTAAGACACAATCTCCTTGTGCAATCAATCCAGCCTCATGCTTCAATGTTTTGTCATAAATTGAGGTCAGGAAGAAATGTTCTCCCTACCTGGAATGCAGCGCTGCTGAACTAGCTGAGTACAGGAAGACACTTAAGGATGTAGTAATCTGTCTTCCCGGAGCGTATCTCAGAGACCACTGCAAACATTCATTTGTTGGAGCTTCTGTGCAGTCAGTGAGCACTGATCCTGCACAGGGGCAGGAGGGCTGAGATGTAGGGTACATGCAAGAGGTTATCTGCGGGATGGTAGGCAGGAGGAAAGCCCAGATGATCCCTTCTGCCCTTAAAATCTGTATTTCATTGCTCCATTTGTCCAGTGAGGGAAGCAGATGCAGAGGGGGGTGAGGGCCCTTGTGTGCCCCTGGCTGAAGCTGAAGTCCCAGCCCCTGCCGACCCCTGCCAGAACCAGGCTCCTCCAGACGTCTCCACTGTGGGTGCAAAGGGGTTTGGGTGCCGCTTCTGGAAAGCAGTCACCCGCTCCAGCGCCCCAGAAGCCTGCTCATGGTCACAGGCCGAGGTGAATTCCCCTGAACCTTCTCTTGGTGTTCCAGCCCCAAACCTCCT